TGTAAGACGGACCGCAGACACAACCTGCAGCGTCATGAGACAAGCCAAAGTTATGCCCCATCTCATGAGCGATGGTGGAGGCGAGTCCTATCGGGTTGTTGTGATGATCCTGGAAGAGAGACACATTTGTTACTTTTAAATTCATCAGAACATTTCATACATACTAACACAGTCCAGGGTTGAGCATACCTGATTGACTCCACCTGAGTTTTCAGTACACATGGCGAACTTGTTTGCAAGTCCGACTGTGTCTCCTTCAAAATCTTTTCCCCTGTTGAGAGAAAACAACGTCAAAAATCTGCTCCGACCGGCGGTTTTCAACATGCACGTTTTTTAAAAACTGAGGCTCACGTCACAAACTGAGCGTTGTCGTGCTTCACCCTCCGCAGCAGATCGGACTGACGCCACATGAGGAAGTGATCCAGAGCGATCTCCGAGTTATCGTTGACGTCGATGAAGTCTCCGGACGACCAGATCTCCAAACCCACCAGCATGACGCGGATGTTCAGAGTGCGATACAGCTGTTGGCAGAGGAGGAGAGTGTGAGGAGGGAATTCAAACATCCAACACAAGAAACTCAAAGAGAGAGAGGAACACAAACCTTATCGATGTGATTTATAACTCCAAGGATTCTGGATCGGGTCTCACTTCCATATCGTTTATACTGCAGGTCAAGAGAGGGAACCAATGAGGGGAGAGAGATCCAGAGACAGAAGGGATGATTGTAAATTCATCTTAAAGAGATATTTACCTCTGCGTTGTCCACGACCACAAACAGCTCCACAAACCTCTGCGGACCTGACACTGGTTTCGTTTTCTGAAAGGGAAAAAAAAACACTATTCTGACTTTTTATCTTACAACTGCTTTACACTTATAGAAACTCTTCAACAAATCCACATGGCTGAACTCACAGACAAAAGGGAACAGATTCAAGGGCTGAACGATGATGTCATACAACCAGAACCCACAGTTTTTTGTTTTCATGACTACTCTATGATAAAAGTCCTTTTGACAGCCCAAACTACTGACGACACATTCTTGATGTCTTTGTTGTCTTATTTCATGTATTTTGTAAAGAAATCTACTTTTTCAATTTGCCAGCTCGTCTCGTCTCGTCTCCCTACTCTGTTGCGACCTATGAGCCGAGTTGTGACCCTACACGTCTACTTTTTTCTCACTTAAATTTGCTGCTGGTGGCGCAGTGGTTAGAGCGCACGCCCCACGTTTGGAGGCTGTAGTCCTCCAGGCGGGTGGCCTGGGTTCAAATCCGTCATGGGCTGCCTCTCTCTCTCTCTCTCCCTCTCTCTGTCTCCCTCTCTCTCTGATTTCAGACTCTTTCCACTGTCCTATCTCTACAAAAAAAGCACAAAATGAAATCTTTAAAAATAAATTAGCTCCAGCAGTAACTTTGTTTCTTTGACCTGTTTTTTCATTGCTGCATTTTGTTAATGTGTTTCTATAAAGTTTGAAATAAAGTCATTATCATTATAAATATGTGGCTTCATGTTCAGACAGTTTTAGTTTATCAAGGATTGAGGGGGGGAGGGGCAACACGGTTCAAATATTCCTCCACTTTGCATGTCATGTCGTGTGTTAAATTCTGTATTTTCAGTCAATCGTATTTAAACCAACAACTTAAAGTCTTTAAAGAGCTTCACCACAAAAACAATGAAACAGTGAAACAATGAAAGAGCTCATTGATTTGTAAACATGGCCGACAGTAAAGCAAGCAGGGATAAATAAACTGTCATAAAAACTTCATAAACAACATTAAGAAGTTAAGTTATTACATTGGGGGGGAAGCTTTATAGGGACGGACATTTCATTTTTTGCACGGGGTGAAAAAGAGCACATGTTGGCGTGACAGCTCTTTCCCGTTTGTTGAAGTCAAGCGTGCATCGATTGGGATAACTTATGACTGCACACTGCACGCTGCCTGTGAACAGGATGTTCCTGTGAGTTAGTTATCTCTCCTACGATCACTTGAAGTCATCCACGTCCTCAGACTGCGAGTGTCAGAAGTTCAGGACAACTTTTGGAAAATGTGCTCGGAGCCATTTTTTAATCAACAAAATCAAACATTTGTTTAACAAAGATTGTGGTTTCTACTTTGACCCAGCTTCAAACTGAATTATTCTTAAACCCAGAAGGCTTTGAGGAGGTGGTTTGACCTTTATCCTCTGTGAAGGTGATACAGTGTTAAAGCGTCTGCTAAGTGAATTTCAGAACTCAGATAAAAAGGAAATAAAAACTCTTGTCGAAACAGCTAAATAGTATTAAATGAGTCACCTACCCATGATCTGGACCTGAAGAGGGCAGCGGGGCTCGGGTCCTGGTCATAAGGTGTGGTGGTGTTAGCGTTGGAGGAGGAGCCACAGCTGACACGGTTGCTGACATTCAGGTGCTCCGGTCTGTAGACGGCGTGATCTCCGTCGTCAGAGCGTCCCAGAGGCTCGATCAGGTAAACCTGCTGCCGCGCTCGCAAGAAACCGCTGAAAATACAGAAAAAAAAAACAAGAAGAAGACAGATGTTTTAATTAAAAACGTCCTGAGGTCAGTCAGCTCTTCAAATATTAGAGGACATGAAGTGAAACCTGCTGTCTGAAAGATGCTACATCAAGAAACTTTCATTTCTTCTTCTCGATACAAATTCTTTTTTCAATTCTTTGACAGCTCCCTTAATCTAAGTTAACATCTGCACTTAAGCACCTACGAGTTGTTTCATTTCACATCCACTGTGTTTCCTCACAGACCTGCAGTGTTACTTTCTAAAAGTGATGCAGCTGATGATTAAAAGAGCAGAAATGTGACTCTCTGTAGGCTGTAAAAAAAAAAGGTTTGTCTCCAGGATTTCTGTAAACTTTCCTTTGTTTAGATAACATTTCATTTCATTTCAAACATTTATTAATTCTCAGAAGGACGCTGAGGTTTCCTTCATGTCCACAGCCGTCGAGATTACAAGAAGAAAACACAACAAACACTCAGTGACAAAAAAAAACAATAAAAGAGATCCATTAAAAACATTTACAATTTGAAACAAAGCGGCTAGAAATCAAATTCCTGAACTCTGGAAGAAAAGGGGAAATTGGGGAGTTAGCTGGAGGGCGTTCCATGAATTCCATGAATCTGAGGCATCAAAAAGAAAAATGCAGATTTACTGAGTTCAGTAAACAGCTTGAGGGACTTTAAGAACGAGCCAATCAGAAGAGCTCCAGAAGGTCTGTGATGTAAGGGGGGGAAGTTTACCAATTACAGCCTAGAAAATATATAAATAAAACCAGTGTTTGTCACGCCTCTCTTCAAGGAAGGCCGACCGACCCGCTCACAGTGATGAAGGCCGGATCTATGAGCAGTTATAAACCTCAAGGTGGAGTGATAAGACGGAGTCAAGAAGCTGCAGCGTGTCTATAAAATGACATCACTGTTATCCAGAACTGATAAGAAAACAACTTCAACTATGTAAGCTTTCTGGTAGGCAAGGCCGACTCATCTGTATGACACAGAGACGATTCAGAGTTCTTTACTGAGCTGAAGAAACCGTGCTGCAGCGACAGTTTACCACCAAAGTAAAGGGGGAAATTAGGTCAATTAAAAAGAGAGAGACATTGAATGTCAGGTAAAAAAGTGCAAAGCTGTGCAAAGGAAAGGAAAGGAAACAGTGTAAGGCAAGTTTATTTCTTTAGCACATTTCAACAACAAGGCAATTCAAAGTGCTTCACACAAGACATCAAAAAGCATCATGACAGAGGAAAGAAAAGAAACATTAAAATAGAAAAAATAAAAATCACTGAAATTATTAAATCTGAAAATATGTTCAAATAAAAATAATTCAAATGAAATAAATAAAGTAAAAATATAAAAAGAGTTAAAAGTTACAGTGCAGAGTTAAAGTTTAGGATCTTATTAAAGCTGTTTCATGAAAGGCAGCTGTAAACAGGTGTGTCTTCAACCTGGATTTAAAAGAGCTGAGAGTTTACAGTGTAGTAACAAACACATTTACAAACATCCTGATTACTGAATAATATGAAGAAACACGTTTCTCAAGTGTGTGAGGAAGTTTTTCTGTACAGAGCGCAGAGTGGAAATTTACAACCAGAATAAAAGAATCTGAACTTCCTGACCTGATTCCTGAACAGATCCCGACGCTGACTGAGGAGTCCTTCATGCCTCTGACGTGGCCGTGATAGAAACAGTGCTCCTAGATTAAAAGACAAAACATCCATTATATGACTTATCATTCTTCTTACAGAAACAAAGAGTGCGTTTGTGTGCTTTTTAATCTCCTATCAATGTGTGAATAACACCATGTGTGTCATCTTTGAGTCACTGACACTTCACACTGATAAGGTGACATGTAGACGTTCTTTTATGAGTCCTGTAATCAGGCGACTTCTCTGCAGGAAGTCGAGCAGCTGATTGCAACATGATAATGGTTTCATTACTTCTGATTCTCAAAGTAGAGATTGGGGAAAGATGAGAGTTAGAGGTATAAGAAAGAAACACAGTGAAGCTGATAAAGTGACTGAAGTACAGGAAGTTAATCATGGTGGGTTTGTTCTGTACATGAGAAATCAGAAAATGTCTTTAAGAAGATAATTCCTGATAAGTCTGGTAAGTGTCCATGCCTGAACGCCTCAGAGGTAGCGCTGTAGTGCTTGAAATCTCGAGACCTTTTGAAGGTCTCGTCTAGGAATCTAAAGCATTTTTACTCAGTCTCATACTGGGCGGACTGCAGATATTAAATCAAGACCACCACTGAGAGGCTATTTTTCCAAGTCATTACTGTGATTAGAAGGAAAACACCTCTCATAAATTTTCTCCCATTTACGGCCACAACATTCCCGAGGTTACGACCTAAATGAGTGACACAAGATGAGGATTTTTCTGTGATACTTATGGTCTTTGTCTTGGCTCGATCTCGATCCCTAAATGTCTTGGTCTTGTCTCGGTCTGGATCCCTAAATGTCTTGGTCTTGACTTGGTCTGGATCCCTAAATGTCTTGGTCTTGACTCGGTCTGGATCCCTAAATGTCTTGGTCTTGACTCGGTCTGGATCCCTAAATGTCTTGGTCTTGACTCGGTCTGGATCCCTAAATGTCTTGGTCTTGACTTGGTCTGGATCCCTAAATGTCTTGGTCTTGACTCGGTCTGGATCCCTAAATGTCTTGGTCTTGACTCGATCCCTAAATGTCTTGGTCTTGACTCGGTCTGGATCCCTAAATGTCTTGGTCTTAACTCGGTCTGGATCCCTAAATGTCTTGGTCTTGACTCGGTCTGGATCCCTAAATGTCTTGGTCTTAACTCGGTCTGGATCCCTAAATGTCTTGGTCTTGTCTCGGTCTGGATCCCTAAATGTCTTGGTCTTGTCTCGGTCTGGATCCCTAAATGTCTTGGTCTTGTCTCGGTCTGGATCCCTTAATATCTTGGTCTTGACTCGGTCTGGATCCCTAAATGTCTTGGTCTTGTCTCGGTCTGGATCCCTAAATGTCTTGGTCTTGACTCGGTCTGGATCCCTAAATGTCTTGGTCCTGTCTCAGTCTTGGAGCACTCTGGTCTCGATTAGTCTGGTCTTCACTAAAACACTACTCAGAGGTAAATGTAAGTCTCACCTGGTTTGGAGACGTCGTCACCCGTTCTCCATCTTCTGAATAATGTGTTTCAGTGAAGTCTTTCCCGATCAGATTCCTTTAAAATACAGACAGAAAGGGACTGTAGCAGCAGGAGGTTTCATTTCTCTCATTATAAGATCAGAAAATCCCAATGTGTCATCATCTCCTTCATTAAATTAATAAACGTGTACCTGTTTTTTTCCAGATGAATTGTGTAGTTCCTCCCTTCGATGGCCAGCTCATACTGAACCGTATCAGGAAACAGCTGGTAAAAAAAGAGACCCATCAGTCGAACAGAAACGATTTGTAGTCGTCACATTTACACCAATTAGAAGCAGAAGTGGTTAAAATATTCTAACGCACATAGAAGGAGAAAAACCACAGGAATGTAAAGGATCATAGATGCTGAGTGGGCGCTTTATCCAGAGAAAAAGTATCACTGAGCAGAATATAAACTTCTCAGGGTGACATCTTTTTTTTGCAATTATTTCACTTACACACAGCATCAAAACCTCTAGATTTCAAAATAAAAGTTAAATAATTGACAGGAATATTTGCCATTTTCTAATTAAAAGCCAAATTGTTTCAGCGCGACTTCCATAGGCTGTTTGGTATTTAACACTATGACTATTTCATAAGCTTTTAATCGTCTTTGTTTGCAGAAATAAATTAATTTATAAAGCTGATTAATACACGGAAGTAAAATTCCTTTTCCCAGTGAGCTGTGAGGAGGGGGGTAAGGTGTGTTCACCTGTGAGTCCTGCAGACTCCTCTTCTGTCTCCCAGGAAGTCTCTGAGGTCTGACAACCTCATACCTGTCCACGTGAGAGAGCATCCAGGCGCTGTGCACGAGACAAACTACACAACAAATAAACATATTTAACCCCTTAATGTCCCGTTACAGTACAGGAGGTTTAATGTCGGTTTCTGAAACAATGTCCGCATTAAAGAAAGTAGAAACTTACCCCACGTCAGCCACAGTGACACCGTGGAGGCTCCCATGTCGATGCTCTCTGCCCGGGCTCTACCCTCCTTCTGCCCGTTACTTCAGCGTGAGTCACCGTGAGGCAGCTGTTCCGTTAAAGCTCCGCCCCCCGGTTCGCTGTTATCTCCGCCTCACGTATTTACCGGAAATAATAACTGGTCAAGCGAGCTGGGATAATATAATACACTCAAACAGACTTCCGTTGCTATGACAATTAAAATAATTAAGATGTGGCTGCTGTGTGAGTCAGCGTGGGCAGAAATGTTTGCAGGATTGTGTAAGCGATTTGAAATGAATCCAGTTGTGCATTAGACAACACAATTCAAGTTGTATATATAATAAAGCAGTTAGTGTGATAGACAATCTTAATCTGAAAATAGTAAATGTCACGTTAATTTGGGAAGGAAATTGCTTTTTACATGAATGGACTTGTAGTAAAAAGTTTAAAAAAATAAAAATAAAAATAAAAATAAAAATAAAAAAATAATTTAAAGAAATAATAATAATAAGTAAAATAAAGATAAAATAGAAATAAAATTAAAAATTAAAATAAGAAATATATTAATAAATTAATTTGGGAAGGAAATTGTTTTTAACATGAATGGACTTGTAGCAAAAAAAAAAAAAAAAAAAATAATAATAATAATAATAAATTAAATAAAAATTAATTAATTTGGGAAGGAAATTGTTTTTAACATGAATGGACTTGTAGCAAAAAATAAATAAATAAAAATAAAAAATAAAATTAATTAATTAATTTGGGAAGGAAATTGTTTTTAACATGAATGGACTTGTAGCAAAAAAATAAAAAATAAAAAATAAAAATTATAATAATAAATTAAATAAAAATTAATTAATTAATTTGGGAAGGAAATAGTTTTTTACATGAATGGACTTGTAGCAAAAAGTAAAAATAAAATGTACTTACAAGAAGTCACATTCTTGTAGGCTACTGGTGGCTTTCAGTTTGATTGACAACTAAAATGTCAGTGGATTGATATCCAGATTGCCATTCTGACTTCGAACAACCTATTTTACGGTAGCCTATATCCCATTGGCTGTCAGTATGTCATTAAGCTACTATTAGCTTGGAGTTAAGTGGCTAAATGCTAAGATGACTATTTAATAGTGAAACTAATTACAAAAGATATGAATGTATCATGAATGACATGGGTTTAAGTCATACATGTAATTCTAAATTGAAGTTGTAAAGTTTCCCTTTTCGACAATTAAATACATTTAAGCTTAACAATAACACGCTTATGACAACCTTCAGGGGACTTTGACGTCAAGGTTCAATAATAAACTTTGAGGTTTGTTTTTGGAATCATACATAAATATAACAACAAAAAACATCCAGGGAAAATTAAAACAAATAATGTTCAGTAAAAAGTTCTGAATATTTAATTCAGTCAGTAAAGTCTTTCTTTAATGAATACAAACATACATTTTCATTTTACAGTTTCCCACAAAGAGTGTCATGACTTACACTTCCAGAGCAGATTAAACACTAGTTCCACTTTTTATAATGTACAATTTGAAGCATTGAAATGAGTCTGCAAACATTAGACTTTAACTCTACATTTCATACACTTTATATAATATTCACACTGAAGCTTTAGCTCTGTGACTCAACAGCCAGCGTCTGTAAGGTACAGATGTGAGCGGTTGGAGTGATGGAGACACATGATGAAAGGACGTTTTTATTTTTACTCCTGAGGGACACAGAGAGAGATAAGATGCTACACCGCTGCTTTCTGACTGCGCTCTATGGCCATCCTCTCGAGTCGCTCAGTGTAGAAACCGTTGAAGTCCAGCCTGTGAAATCACAAGAGCAGTGTGAGTTAAGTATAAAAAAAACCCTTTCATTATTAATCCAGACAGAAATACATTGAATACAGTGCAACTACCAAAAGGTAAAAAGATCTTTACAACCTTTCTATAAGTATAGCTGTCTGTCCTTTAAGGCTCTGTTTAAGGATATTTTGAGCCACTAGGGGGCAGCAGAACACCCTTTTAACATACCATCAGCCCTTATCGTGTGTCTGGTTCATATCTTTCAGCTTTAGTTTGTTCTTGAACAATCGGTATCTGTTGCTCTGTGACTTCAAACAGTTTGGATTTGAGCAGGCAGAGTGCAGTGTGTGAGTTTGAAACAAAACGTGATGAGAGGAACTTGTTGACATAAAACCAAAACAGTAAACTAACAGACAACAAAAACACTCAAAAGGCCACATATGCATGAAGCTGCACATCCATCCTGTCTCCATGACGACAGTCTGTTGACAGCAGCCGCTGGATGACTGACATTGCTGCGTTTGCTTTTTACTGAATGCTTTTTATTATAGATATTTTTTTACCCCAGAAGAAGACAGGGAAAAAAAGAGGATGTGAGTACAAAGACAAGACGTGATGTTGGCCCAAAAAAATATGATAAATATCAAACATTTGGAAAACAGCGCCTGGTGACGTCAACAGCGCCTTAGAGCGGGCAAACAAAAAAGGAGGAGCGCTCGGGGAAAAAAAAGACGCTGGGCGCAGGATTTTTGTCTGCTGCTGTAAATGCTCTCTCCTCATTGAAAGTTTTTGTTTTTAAAGACGCTGTAGCTCAGATGAAAATGCGGCCTTTAGTAATAATAACAATAACTTTATTCATATAGCACCTTTTAAAAACACAGGTTTACAAAGTGAGAGAGAGAGAGAGAGCGAGAGAAGGAGAGAGAGCGAGAGAGAGAGAGAGAGAGAGAGGGAGGAGAGACAGAGAGAGAGAAGAGGAGAGAGAAGAGAGAAAAGGAGAGATGGGAGAGAGAGAAGGAGAGAGGAGGGGAGAGAGAGAGAGAGAGAGAGAGAGAGAGAGAGAGAAGAGGAGAGAAAGAGAGAGAGAGAGAGAAGAGGAGAGAGAAAAGGAGAGATGGGAGAGAGAGAGAGGAGAGAGAAGGGGAGAGAGAGAAGGAGCGAGAAAAGGAGAGATGGGAGAGAGAGGAGAGAGAGGGAGAGAGAGAGAGAAGAGGAGAGAGAGAAGGAAAGATGGGAGAGAGAGAGAGAAGAGGAGAGAGAAAAGGAGAGATGGGAGAGAGAGAGAGAGAAGAGGAGATAGGGAGAGAGGGAAAAGAGGAGATAGGGAGAGAGAGAAAAGAGGAGATAGGGAGAGAGAGAAAAGAGGAGATAGGGAGAGAGAGAGAGAGAGAGAAGAGGAGAGAGAAAGGAGAGTTGGGGAGAGAGCGAGAGAGAGAGAGGAGAGAGAGAGAGAGAGAGAGAGAGAGGGAGGAGAGACAGAGAGAGAGAAGAGGAGAGAGAAGAGAGAAAAGAAGAGATGGGAGAGAGAGAAGGAGAGAGAGGGGAGAGAGAGAGAGAGAGAGAGACAGAGAGAGAAGAGAGAGAGAAAGGAGAGAGAGAGAGAAGAGGAGAGAGAAAAGGAGAGATGGGAGAGAGAGAGAGGAGAGAGAAGGGGAGAGAGAGAGAAGGAGCGAGAAAAGGAGAGATGGGAGAGAGAGAGAGAGGAGGGAGAAAAGGAGAGATGGGAGAGAGAGAGAGAGAAGAGGAGAGAGAAAAGGAGAGAGGGGAGAGAGAGAGAGAGAAGAGGAGATAGGGAGAGAGAGAAAAGAGGAGATAGGGAGAGAGAGAAAAGAGGAGATAGGGAGAGAGATAAAAGAGGAGATAGGGAGAGAGAGAGAGAGAGAAGAGGAGAGAGAAAAGGAGAGTTGGGGAGAGAGCGAGAGAGAGAGAGAGAGAGAGAGAGAGAGAGAGAGAGAGGGAGGAGAGAGAGAGAGAGAGAAGAGGAGAGAGAGAGAGAAAAAGGAGAGATGGGAGAGAGAAGGAGAGAGAGGGGGAGAGAGAGAGAGAGAGAGAGACAGAGAGAGAAGGGAAGAGAAAGGAGAGAGAGAGAAGAGGAGAGAGAAAAGGAGAGATGGGAGAGAGAGAGAGAGAGAGAAGGGAGGAGAGAAGAAGGAGCGAGAAAAGGAGAGATGGGAGAGAGAGAGAGAGGAGGGAGAAAAGGAGAGATGAGAGAGAGAGAGAGAGAGAGAGAGAGAAGAGGAGAGAGAAAAGGAGAGATGGGAGAGAGAGGAGAGAGAGGGAGAGAGAGAGAGAAGAGGAGAGAGAGAAGGAAAGATGGGAGAGAGAGAGAGAAGAGGAGAGAAAAGGAGAGATGGGAGAAGAGAGAGAGAGAAGAGGAGATAGGGAGAGAGGGAAAAGAGGAGATAGGGAGAGAGAGAAAAGAGAGATAGGGAGAGAGAGAAAAGAGGAGATAGGGAGAGAGAGAGAGAGAGAGAAGAGGAGAGAGAAAAGGAGAGTTGGGGAGAGAGCGAGAGAGAGAGAGAGAGAGAGAGAGAGAGAGAACCTGAACATGGTAAACGTGATAAATACATGTTAAAGCATGTTTTTCCGGTGTCATTTAAAGGGTAATACCTGTAGATGATGCTGATCATGCTGTGCTCACAGTCGTTGGTGCTGTAGATGCTCAGTTTGTCCAGCAGGTCGAGCAGCAGCGTGCTGAAGCTGCTGTCGAACTTACTGATCGTGGCTTCAAAGCCTGCGTCTGAGTGCAGCGTGTCCACGTACTCCGCTAACAACTGAAGAGAGAAAAACAACAGAACATGTTAAAACCTGAACCTCTGCAGTTTGTCTCTGTGCCAGCTGGAACATATTATTCTCTGGTGTTGATGACCTTTCATTACATGTTTACATTCCTGGATGTCGACACAGACTTCCAGTATCAGTTTTTTGTTTTGTTTTTTTTGACGAGGTCAGGTTATGTTGATTTTTTGGAAACACCTTTGAGGTTCGTCTCTTCTTCTCTGCCTCTTCAGCGTGTTCGCTCTGCGTGGAAGGAGCGTCCATGGTGCCTTGTTCCAGAGAGAGACGCTCTAACCTCATGCTCTGAGTGAAACGCTGAAATGGTCACAAGAGAACAAAACAATAAAAGTGTAAACGTCTGGTAGTTTCAGTTTGGGGTTTGAAAGCCATGTACGGGTAAACTACATTTAACTAAAACAGACATTTAAGTGCCCAAACTGCTGAATATAAATATCAATGTAACTCTTTTTACTGCTGCTAACTTGAAGTCCTGCATGTTTGTGATGTTTGGTTTTAATTTTCAATATTGCTTCAGTGTTTTAACAGCTGGGTCTTTTTCAGATCTTAAACAGCATGTCCTGTTTTATCAAGAACGTCCTTTAACAACCATGGACACCATTATTCTGCCACTGTGTTTTATCACGCCCCGTTTACACCTCTCTCACACTGAGTCAATAAAGTTGAATTGAATTAAACAAACCTGCATGCAGTTTGTGAACTTGACGCACACGGCCATGAGTTTGGAGAAGATCCTGAGGAGCTCGGGGTTGGTCAGCATGCAGTCCTTCAGGCAGTTGTCCAGGAAACTGGTGTGATGGCAGAGCACGTCATCGATGTTTGACGCCTGGAGAGAAAGAAGAGAGAGAGAGTCAGACGAATAAACACAACATCAGTTTCTAGAAAACCCTCAGGACGGTGTTGCTTTAAAGTAACTCTGACCCTGAAACATCATGAGGAACAGCAGGCTCATTCTGTAACAGCTAGTAATCAGGACTCACTGTTTTCAGATTGTTCTCCATGATGTGCCAGGTGGGCTCCATCACCTCGAACATCATGTAGTACTGGATGTTCTGCACAAAGTTGAGCATGCGCTGTCGCAGGGCGAACGCGGCAGCAAACCTGTTTACATGCAGAGCGTGAACAAAGTGTGAAGATATTCTGCTCCTTTTTAGATAAAGGTAAATACAGGTTCAACATTAACCCACCACTTTGGAGACGGTATGGAGTACTGCTTGAAGTCTTTGTTGCTGATCCACACGTTGCAGAGGAGCCGCTCGACGTGTTTGCAGTAAAACATGTGTCGGAACAACATCTGGTACCTCGTCAGAGCTTTCCTGTGGGGGGGAGAGACGTTATTTACCTTACTTTAAAAGAGATTTGTAGGAGCAGAAAACAGAATGTATGTCTGTTTTTAATGCATGTATGTTGTGTGCATGGTGTTAATCATGACATCAAGGACAATGCAGACAAAGGCGTTGTCGAGATTTGCAGAACTAAGGAGGACAAATTCAATTTTCAAATGAACTGACAGTAATTTGAGGGTGAGTGATGAGGTTAAGTATCTTGGACATTAGATTACAGATCAAGTCATTTCATGAAATCTAAAGATCAGTAGATGGGCAACAACCAACCCCCCCCCCTTATTTTTTAAATTACAATTATAAATATGATTTTTCTTTCTTATTTAGCTTTAAATTTAACTTGTGTTGTTTTTTGTTTTGTTTTTCTGGTTGTGTTCTTTATTTTTTTTTAAATAAAAAAATGTTGCAATGCATTCTGAAGTCACTGTTGAATAAACGATAAAGTGAGAAAAAAAAAGAAGAAAAAAGATTACAGATGAAATGAAGGATGATGATGAAGACGTCTACGGGCAGCGCCGCACGATGAAGGTTCAGACGAACCGCTCCATCAGGTCGCTGCTTTACAGACGGAGTGAAGGAGCACATTGTACTCCTCTCTCTAACGCCCCCTTGTGGTCTGACTGCAATAAAGCAAGTCTGCGTAAACTTCAAGCAGCAAACAATGATGCACTGAGATTATTGCTCAGAAGACGTCGGTGGTGTAGCACCACAGAAATGTTTGTGGCTGCAGAGGTCGATATGCTGCGAGCACATTTTAAGAAATCTCGTTAACTGACAAGATGATAATCATCCCGGCCTCGACCAATCACCCCAAGCAGAACTACACGCTATCAATCCGAGATACAGCTGTGTCCTCTGAGGTCATTGTGTTTAATCATTTAGTGATTTGATTTGCACCCCGAGTCTGTGAAGAAGTTTTGATTGATTTTAAGAGAATTATTACAGAAGTTTCTTTTCTCTCTTCTTTATTTCGGTGTGGTTATTTGCCATGTGGATACATTTATTTTAAATGCATTTCCTCAACCTTTTTATATTTTTTGCACTACTCACCACTGCACTCTTGTCTTATTTAGCCTTTTATAGTTTAGTGGTTTTTTTTTGCTTATATTACGTTTAATGTTTAACTTTGTACATTGAGTGCACAGGTACTGAAGACAAATTCCTTTGTCTGTGTGTGTGTGTGTGTGTGTGTGTGTGTGTGTGTGTGTGTGTGTGTGTGTGTGTGTGTGTGTGTGTGCATACATGGCCAATAAAGCTGATTCTATTCTATTCTACAAAGGGACAAAGTTCAAATTGCCCCCCGGGGACAAATAAAGTTTTTTTTTTTTAATTGAATTGCCTTTTTTAAAATCTCACTTACTCATAAAAAACCATCTGAGCTCTGAGAGTTTGTTGTTGATTATGACGTTCTCTGAAGGCAGAACACGATGAAATGTCAAGAGAGAGATAGAAAGAAGTCATGACTGGGAGTACAGATAAAAACATTATCAGCAGAGCGGAACCTGTTGATGATGAGAGAGAGCGGCCATTTGACGATGTAGTCGAAGGAGAACGCCTCCAGCCCGCTCAGAGTTGTGTCCGTCGGTTCCGCGTTGATGATGGCTTTCTCCTGTTTGGTCTCGATGGCGAGAACTCGCAGCAGCTGAGTGATGACGTCATGAGGCATCAGGTCGATCTGTGGAGAGAAGAGGAGAGGGCTCATGAGATCAGATGTGTGAGTGCAGGACGACAACGAGCCTTCTTACATCTACTATCTATCTCATCTCCACCCACCTTGAGGTCGTCTTTGAAGGGGTCCGTGTTGGCCGTGCTCATCCTGAGAGCGAGCTCCAGGAGCGCCTCGAGTCGGGGAGGAACGATGTCGTCCACCGGCTTCTTCAGCTCCTCCTCCGTCAGGTCCATGAAGTGCACAAAGAAATCACCTTTGTCCATGAAAAAGTAGTGCTTGATGGATCTGAGAAAAAACCACACAGGACAGTACAGGAAGTGTTATTCTTTTAGATATCATTTCATCTCCACAGACGAGAAAGTCTCAGATGGTAAAAAGGAGTTTAGCTTGTTACTGCTCTTCTGACTACTCCCAAGAGGTTTTCACACCTACACATTCACACACTGGAGCTGTTGTCAAGACCAGAATAACCAGGACGGAGTGCTCCAAGACATTTAGGGATAGAGACTGAGTCAAGACCAGGAACGAGACCAAGACCATAAATATCAGTGTTTCCCCTACCATTATATTAGGGGGGCGACGTGTGGATACAAGGACAGCTGAGGACACACAACCTTTCAATGATCCTGTTACCTTTATGGCTTTTAAATGAATCATCCTCTTCTTTTGCAAACTTGAAAATCAAAATCAAACATGAAAATCTATTTTACCTGAGGCGTGAAACCAGCTCCTTCTCCTCCATGAGGAAGGCTAACAGCACCTTGCTGGCGTAGTTGTAAGCCTTCTCGATCTGCTCCACATACGCCCGCTCCTTCAGCGTGTACAAGACCTCCTTAGCATCGGGACAGGTCACATCGCGCCCGCACTCCCGCACCACGTTCAGGTATTTGCCTACAAATGAACAGAATGGAAAGAAATCTTTTTGTTTAATAATTGCTCTGATTAAAGTTTCTATTTGTTCTGGTTCCTGTTGTTGTTTTTTTTACCTGTGCTTAATATTTTGTCTGCCATTTTCTGCAGAAAGGAGGGAATCCGATGCTGCACGATTGTGTATCTCTGATCCCAGTACTTGTCGTTGTAGTCCTCCTGGATTTTCTCTTTCTGCAGCTCATGCTCCTCCACCATGAACTCGCTGAGAGGACGCAGAAACAAACATGAAAACAAAACCAGATCCGGTGGTTTAGAAGTGTGTGTCATATTTTTTAAGATTCTTTCGATTGTCTTACCTGTACGGATCTTTGATGATGCCTCTGTAGATCCACTTCTCCAGGATCTCAAAGTAAGGGACACTGGCTGCTTTGGTGAGGTAGAGACACAGCTCCTGAGCCTGGCTGTCCCCGGTGTAGTTGAAGGTCCGATCGTGAAGAAGACTCAGCGTCGACCCCCCCATGCACTCTCCTTTGTCCACCGAGGACGCTGTGGGAAAAGTGAAAAAAAAAAACATTTTCTATAGAGTCTTCTTTTGTTTTAATTTCTTTTTTTTTTTTACTCAAAATTAAGGGTTAGTTTGGGTACATTTAGATTTAAAAAGTCCACTACCTACGAGGCGTTTCACAGACTTGTCTAGTCGACTTCACAGCTGTGTGATCACGCTTTATGCCTGATGTCGACTAATCGCTCATCAGGGTAGAAAATCTAAAACTGTGATAGTGAGTCTGCAAAAAGGCTTTGTTTACCTTTCCCAAGTCTGACTTTTTCTTTGCACTCGCATACATGGGAGTTAAAGCACACAGGATATTGTTGCATACTTTAATCAGAATCGGGGTTTATTGCCAAGTACATTTACACCTACAAGGAATTTGACTTGGTTTATTGGTGCTAAACAATTAATAAGGAAATAAGCAGAACTAGCAACAACTTAAATAATACAGAATAAGAAGATATTACAATATATAAAATCGAATTTAAAAATGTAAAAAATAAAATATGAAAAATAAAGATAAAGAACACAAAATGTACAAAAGGTGCAACATGTTTCTCTGTGTGTTAACTGTCTGATTTCAGTAAAATACACATTAAGTTTTGCAAATTAATATTTTTGCTGGTTGTAAATCATCCCCCTCTCCTTTGCTGATAACTTCCATCAGCGGCTTGTCGACATCCACTCGACTATTATCTACTCATGACTGTCGACTTCAAAAAAGCTGAAGTGGTGCAAACCCTACAACCTACTAAAAAGGTGACTGCTGTTATTTTTGAATTAATTAAACCCGTGCGAAAGGTCCCCCACTTTCATAGTTTCAGTGAAGACACTCTAATTTCCATCACTCCATCTGTCCTTGAACAGCCCATGCCTGTTAACAACACTCCCCCATCTGCACCTATCACTGACCTCAGACCCTTGTCCGACCTTTCCACCTAATTACACCTCATCAGAAGCAGCATCACACAGAGAAGACTACTGCACCCCTCAACCCGGTTCTCTGGACTTCTGTTTAATCGTTTTAGCTTCTGTGCGTCCATGAGACTAGACCACACACACTTCATTTATCTTCACTTCATGTCCCAAAAAACATATATAATGCTTTACAATAAATGAGTGGCATCTCAAAGAGAGAGTGTGTCAGACTGATTTCTCATGTTCTTACCGGACAACCTGTGGCGTCTGCATTTCCTATAACCACACTAAGGTTCAAACATCACTGAGGTCTCAAGAGTGGTATCCAGAAACCATCGCCTCTTTTATAAAACTGGTTAAATAGCATCATGAAAGATCCCCTCATGGTGCAGTATTTAGTGGGACTTTTTATCCTGCATTATTGAATAACGGTGGTTGAATTTAACTGTCTAACTTCTTGCTGTTAACCTGTGTCAAACGCCCTCAAGAGGTTGGAATGAGTTTGTTTGTGTTGATGTTCAGACTCTTACCGATGGAGGCCAGTATCTCCATGGTCCTCATGGTGGGCTGGATGTAAAACCAGAGCTTCTGCAGGGACAGCAGGCCCTGTCGCTGCAGGTGCTCCAGCTGTGTGACCAGAATCAGGTACTCCTTCATCAGAGTCCTCATGGCCGCCGTCAGCGCATGGTTCACCTGGCCATACTCAAAGGACGACTTCTCCTCAATGAAGCTGGAGGGACAAAACACAAAACCACCTTGTAGTTATCTGTACACACACACACACACACACACACACACGGTTATAAAGGTGTGAGCTGATGAGCTTACTACACTGACCGTGTTATGGTGGAGTAATACGACGCCACAGGTAGTATCCTGTTGACCAGCTCTTTGACGGACATGTCCAGAGTCGAGTCGACGATGAAGGAGCGGTTCTGTCTCCCCAGCACGGGCTGAGCTGTGATGTCCCGCCCATCCACCCCCACCAGGACAAACAGCAGATCCTCCACCAGAGCTTGTTCCTGAGCAGCCGGGGGCATCGTACCTGAGCACAGGTGACACTCTGAAGAACTCTACCAACAACAAACAGCTGCAGGACATAATCCTACTGAGCACGTGTCTGGCAGCAGAATGAGAAAAGAATTGTGATCTTTCTTTACCGATGGCCACAGCTGGATCTCCTGGAGGAGTCAGGCTGGTGATGAAGTCTCCGAGGAGAGCAGGTCGTTCGTACACCCAGTTAGGAAACACGGGGTTGGGCTGAGTCGGGTTCTTTTTATTGTGTTTGTCTCTCAGCATCTTGCGGGTGACTTCAGCGGGCTGCAGAGAGGAGATAAAGAAAAACGATCCAACGAGCAGGAATGAAGAACGAAGGCACTTCAAGTTCTCGTGTTTTGAAGACAACAGAGAAAGATACAACAGCTGATGTAAATATCTGATTTGTCCTATAAGTATTATTTACTTCTTTTTTCCTTAAAATAAAGACTAAAGACTAAAAAAAAGTGGGAGGGGCTGAGAGTACCAATTTTTTGTCGATTCATCAAGTACCATTTTGTCCATTTTGTGAAAAATTGTCATCACAGTTTCCGTTCAACCAAGACAAAGTTTCCAAATGTCTTTTTCAACAGACAATCTGATAAAAAATAAATAATAATAATCAAAATCTTGACAATATAAAACAGAAAAAGAAAATTATTATAATCAAGAGATACAAAAAAATAATTTCCTGATCTTTAATTGACAGAGATAAAATGGTATTTTATGGGGCTTCATGAAAGGTGGATTCTTTTGTCTAAACATTTGTAATATTTTTTTTCTGAGACAAGTCTGCAGAGAAAAGTCACAAACAGAGTCCAAATATGTTTAAGCAGCATCAGACACCAATTTAAAACTCACTACTGAGCAGTTAAGTTCCCCCCGTGTGAATACTTTGTGTAGGAAAAGCTCACCAGAGGAGCGTTGGAGCTGGCCGTCACATTCCCGAGCTTCTTCCTCAGCTCGTCCAGTTCCTGCATGGACATCTTGGTGCTGGTCTGAGGTAGAGTGTAACTGGTGGTGGTCGTGGAAGTCGTGTTTGATGAGGACTCAGCCCGCTCTTTAGCATTCTGCTGCAGACACTGGAGCATCTACAAAAAGAAAAAATCACAACAACGCTATGATTAGCAGGCAGAGTGATAATAAAGTTAAACTGCACAAAGAGCTGCTCGGAGAGTGTGTATTGACCTCTTTATCCTCACAGAATTTGGAGAGCAGATAGACAAGAGGGTCCAGGTTTCTGACATTTTTGGACTTGAGCTCCTCGTACTTCCTCAGAAGTCCTCAGGGGTTTTGGAGAACTCCGCTAATTTGACCTGAAAATGGTGAATGAACAGTCAAATAACAAGAAAAAAACAAGTATATTAGAATAAAAAAAACATTGATTCAATTCAAAACCTTTATTTTAACTCAAAAGACACTGAGGTTTCCCTCATTTACAGTGGCGCCGTGCTCACAGCGTAAAGTGGGGAACCAAATAAAAGTGAGTAGAAAAGAAATAAATCAGCTAAAAACAAAACAGTTACATATTCAGAAAACCGCCAGCAACACAGTAACGGACCATTGTGCATCAATTTGTAACTGTTTTTAGCTATGGCCTTAAGGGCTGCATATGAGGGCTTAATTTTTAAAATGTGGTGTATGACATTTGGGAACCGGAGGGTCACCGGTTCAAGTCCTGGTGCGGACCAAATATGGAAGTTGGTCTGGTAGCTGGAGAGATGCCAGATCACTTCCTGAGCACTGCCGAGGTGCCCTTGAGCAAGACACCGAACCCCCCTCCCCACCATCAGCTCAGGAGCGCCCGCTGTGGGCAGCTCCGTCACTCTGACATCTCTCCATTAGTGCATGTTCATAGGATCCTGTTTGTGTACATGTGTGTATACTTCAGCCTGTGTGTGTGTTCATGACTTACAGAGTGTAAAAACTGAAATTTCTCCTTGCGGGGATCAATAAAAGTAAATCTTAAATCTTTATTTTTCAAACTGCAAAAAAAAAACAAAGCCTGTTAATAAATTATTGATATTTTGAGGGAAGTGTCATCATTAATTTTAGTGTTAAAGAGGGTCAGTCTAGTACCGAACCATTGAGATGCTTGACCCAGGATGGATTTGGCTGACTCACTTTGGCCCCTGCTTGAAATCAACCTTCACAAATGATTGTATTCCAGACCGGACTGCGACTAACAGACAATTTCTTTCAATCACTCAATCAAACATTATTTATATATCACCTTTCAGACAACTTAAATTGGCAGTTCAAAGTGCTTTACAAGAGTGCAGAAAAGTTATTGATGAAAGTAGTTTATAAAATCATTGAGAGACTAAAGCGCACCAATAAGAATTAAAAATGTATGTACAAAAATAAAATACGACGCATAAAAGCAACAAGATATTAAAATAAATACAAGAGGAAAATATTTAAAATTGTAGTTGATAAAAAAGACAATACAGTAATGTTAAGATTTGAATTTATATAAAAGCCAGACTGAGTTTTGAGACTGCGTTTAAAAATCTCGATATTCTGGGCTCCTCTCAGACCCTCAGGAAGGTCGTTCCACAGTCTCGGAGCGTAACAGCTGAAAGCAGCATCGCCAAAGGTTTTCTGTCCTGCTCTGTGGAACACGAAGAGAGAGGAAGAGGAGGATCTGAGGGGCCGTACTGGTTCATAAACTAAAATCATGACCTGATAGGTAGTCTGGTGCAACGCCATGTAATGCTTTATAACAGGGCGTCTCCAACCTTTCTTCATCTGAGAGCTACTTTGAAAAAATGGAAGTGACCGACAGCTACGTGCATCAAATCACTTGCATTTATTTACACAGCACACATCAGCTGAATGAAGCTGCTGTTTGTACACGTGGGAAATCGCAATAAGTCGATGCTCATCAATAATCTTAAATTCACATCAAGGTCCAAGAAAAAAACATGAATATTTTACACTTCTTATTGTGCCACCATGTCCAATAAAACATTGACTACTTTACACTTGTTTTAATGGAACACATGAATAGTGGGAAGCGGTGCATTTACTGTAGTCAGATTTATTTATATTTTTAACACAGTCGGTCAACCTACAGGTGAGCTACCTACCTGTAGCTCCCGAGTTACCTGTTGGAGACCCCTGCTTTATAAACTAATAAAATCAACAGGTAAACTAACAGGCAGCCAGTGTACAGATCTGAAAACAGGTGTGATGTGTGCTCACTCTTTATTACCCCAGATGTGTGTACCTTGTGTATTGGCTGTTCTCCTCACCTGTCAGGTGTGTTACCCACCTTGGCACTGTGAGAAGACACCGTGGTGGTCACATAGGGGGTCCTGTGTTTCTGCAGGAGGTCTATGTACCCCTCTGCTCCATCTCCTCCTCGGACATGCAGCAGGCTGAGCAGCTCGTTCACATCGTGGTGGATCCTGAACTCACTCATGGCTCAGGCAGCTGCAGCAACAACAACAACAACAACAACACACTTTAATCCAGAGGTAGCACATGTAATAGTAATAATACACGGTGACGTCACTTCATGCTATCTCGCTAACTAGCTCAAAAAAAAAGTAAAAACCGGTTGAGAATGAACCGGGGGGAAGGATGAGGATGCTAACTGTGATGCTAGCTAATTCAACATCAAATACGTCATTATAGATGTAAAATATCATGACTGCTTGATCGTAATCCGTCTCTTTCGTAACCAAAGTGTCTGCACTGTACCTGTCAGTTGTGTTTTGAACAATACAACATCAAACATCGACGCAGGAACAAGCGATAAACGCGCCTACCAGCAGTCAAATGATTCTTCTTCTACTGATGGAATTCCGGCAGGCTGGATACTGGGGAGTGTAATGCTGCCCCCTGCAGGCTGATAGGCTTTCTTGTTTTTTTTTTAGGTACAGGCCTACATGCCAATTGAAATTAAAAAATTGGTATTTTAATTTTAATTTTATGACCACCTTACCAATAAGTTGGAACTCTACGGAAGAGGATTAAGTACGGTGGCCCTAAAGGTCATGTGTGCAAATATTTAATAATTTCATGATTTTATATGAATGAAATGCATTTCGCAGCAGGCATAAAAAAAGTTTGCAGCAAGTGAAATATTTTTTCAGTTCCTGACATATTGTTTTTGGAAATGTTTTTGTGTTTCATGAAATATTTTTGCATGTAGTGAAATGTTTCCAACATTACATTTTTGCACAGTTGACCTTCAGGGCCCCCGTAATTAAGGCCAGGCCTCTAATTAATACATAAGAGAGGAGGGAGATATTCTTTCCAGTATTCGCTTAGAGAAAAAAGTCAAAATGTCAAGAACAAAGAATGGGTGAGAATTAAGTTTACATTTTTTTGTAATTTTGATTTTATTCTCAACCTTTCGACTTTTTTTCTCGAAGTGCATTTGAAATTGAATCTTCCTCCTCTCATTATTTAGTCTTCATTACCGGTCCTAATCCTTAATTACATTAATATTTTCTGTGTTGTTTTCAGCTCAGTATTAATTCATTATTCAACCTCTACTGGTTGTGTTTTACATCCCATTTTATAGTTTGCATAGTATTTATTTAATTTATGTAGACTACCTTATATTTTATAGAATGCATAGTACTCTCTGATTGGCCTGATTGTTGATGTGTTTTTAATTGTCCTCTAGAGTGCCTGTCTTTCTTTTGTCTATCAAAGCACTAGTATCAAAAAATACTAGAACATTAAGGTTTAAAATTCTGGTGTCATGACAGCCCTAATCAGAAGTTGTTCTTATATTTATTTTAACTGCTATATGAAGTGTGAAAATATTTAAACGTGGTTGGAGATTACCCATAATTGCTGTCTCGAGATAAAATAAACATAAATATGTGTTTTTATTCATTTCTGTATGTCAATCATGTGTTTCTTTAATTTTTATAAATTCTAACATTAATGAGGAACATTGATAGATACTTTATAGATCCTGAGGGAAATTCAAAGCATCCAGTAGCAGGTTACAAAGACGGACATGACATGAAACATTTGTTACAGATTAAACCACAAAACAGACCCCCCCCCATACATATATATTAACCTGAAAAAAAGATTTAAAGAAAACCCCTAGATGAAACAAACTTAAACTGTGCAATTAAAAATATAAGTGTTGACCTTCTGTTGTGTTGTTTATATACGTACAGCTGGAACAGCAGATACAACGGAAGTAATCACAATCAGAATATTTTAATGCTGGACGAATTTAATTATCAAAATGTATTCATTATTTGTGATATTATATTTCAGAACATTTACATTTATTAAGATTTGTTTTAAAATATTTCTAGTTGATCAAACTAAACGCCTCGTCTGTATCTGCTTTTTTTATTTTTTTTTATTACTTATATTTTATTTGCTTTTCTGAATGAAGATACATCAAAACAAACACAGTATACAAACTTTGGTGTCAGTTAACAGTAGTCAGTTTTGCCTCCTTTTAAATAGTCCATTCTCTTCAGACTTTGTGATGGGTTTTAAAGTCACTCCACTTTATCCATTTTCCTTGGCATGCAGATTGTTGTAGTCTTAAATTGTGTGTAAAGTTCTCCATATCATGTAGTTTTTCAACAATGTCCAACCAGTTTCTCCGAGTGGGGGGGGGGGGGGGTCCTCCTTACACCACTTTCTTGTTATAGCTTTCTTTGATGCCACCAGTAGTATTCCAGCCAGGTATCTGTCTTTGCTTTGTATATTTTCCAGTGTTAAATTTCCCAGATACAGCACTTCACAAGTCTTAGGAAGTTCACAACCTAAAATTGCTTTCATTCCTTTCCACACTTCATCCCAGTACTCAGTCATTTTCACACATTGCCAAAAAACATGAGTGTGATCTACATTTTGACGTTCTACTCTGTGTCCTACACATGTTATAACACTCTTCCTTGGTTATTTTTCTCTTTAGTTCCTTTTCCCATTTATCTCTAATGTACAGAGTTTTTCTATTTCTCACCATATTTTGATACAACACTGAAATTACTCTCTTGACGGTACCTCTGTATGCATTACATATCGTTACAATCAATCCGTTTAATTCACATGGGGAATCCGGCTTTATCTCCTTATTGTAATCTCTGATTTGTAGGTACATGTAGAAATCTTTGTTTTCTAAGTCATATTCTCTCCTTAGTTTAAGAAAACTTTTGATTTTTCCCTTTTCAATCAATGTGTCAATTATTGTTATGCCTCTATCTGCCCACTGTTGAAACCTCTGGTTTAGAGTCTTTTGCCTCATTCTCCAATTTGTATTTCTTAACTACTTTAAACCAGATTCCCAAGGTGAACCCAGTGATTGAATTCAATAATCCCTCCTTTTCCTTATACATGTTTCTGTTCTCAATCATACTCTGCACGTGGCACCCTTCCGTGTTCAACTCAGAAATAATTAGCATCACACCAACCTATCAAGGGCCGGAGTTGAGCGACATAGTAATATTCTTGGAGGTTAGGCAGTGCCGAGCCTCCCTCGTCTTTGGGTGTCTGAAGTGTAGGGAATCTAATTCTCGGTTTATGCCCATTCCAGATAAATTGTGAAATTTTTTTGTCCCACTCTTGAAACTGAGAGGGAGGGATTTGCACCGGCAAACACTGAAACAAGTACAGGAGTCTTGGTAGCACATTCATCTTGATGATTTCAATCCTTGAGCTGAAATCTAACATCAATACTGACCATCTATCCATATCCTTAAACATCTCCTGGTTAAGGGGTTTGTAATTAATTTCAAACAATTTGGATAATGTTTTTGTAATGTTTATTCCTAAGTAATGAATTGCTTTTTTTGCTCCAGTTGAAATTATATGTTTGTTGTATTTCTTTAGATGGTGTGTAATTAAATGGCAAGATCTGTGTTTTCTGCACATTTAGTTTATATCCTGAAAGGTAACCATCATTTTCCAATAGTGTCATCAACTTTGGAAGACAGGTGTCTGGTTGTTTTAGATGAATCAAAACATCGTCTGCGAATAGCCCAATTTTGAGCTCCCTGCCTCCCACTTCCACCCCCTTTATTTCTTCATTTTGCCTTATTGCTTGAGCGAGCGGCTCAATAAAGATTGAGACGAGCGTAGGGGTCAGACAGCAGCCCTGTCTGGTAGACCTTTCTAACTTGAACTCTCTGGTTAGACTCCCATTTATTTGTATTCTTGCCCTTGGATCCTGATATAATGTCTTAATACAATTAACTGAGTCTTGGTTGAACCCAAATTTCTCCAAGCAGAGGTATAAAAACTTCCAGCGAACGCTGTCGAAAGCTTTTTCAGCATCCAAATTAATTAATATAGCACTCTCTCCTTTTCTTTGTATTTCTTCAATTATATGTAGCGTCCTTCTTATATTATCTTGCGTCTGTCTTCCCTTGATAAATCCCGATTGATCTTCATGAATCAATTCTGACATAAAGGTTTCAAATCTATTATATAAAATGGATGTGTACAACTTGTAGTCACAATTTAGCATCGATATCGGCCTATAGTTTTCACATAATTCTTTGTCTTTTCCTCCTTTGGGGATTACTGTGATAATGGCCTCTTTCCATGAGGGAGGTAGGTTTCCAATTTTTAATGTTTGACTAAATGATGCTAGTAACATTGGATTTAGTTCCTTTCTTAACATTCTGTCCCATTCAGGTGAATAGTCATCACTTCCTGGGGCCTTGTTAGACTTGAGTTTCTTAATTGCGTTTTCAAATTCTTTTTCTGTGATCTGAGTTTAAGATTGCATTTTGGGATTCACCTATTGCTGGAAGGTCTAATGAATTCAAAAACGCTTTAACCATGTCCTCATCTCCAGAGGCAGGTTGCGAGTACAGCTTTTTATAATATTCTTCAAACACATTTTCTATCTCTTCTGGTTTATAAAGTAACGCTTTAGACGTAGGTTCTCTTATTTTATGAACTGTGCCAAGTTGTTGTTCATTCCTCAGTCGCCTAGCCAGTGATTTTGTTGCTTTTAGTCCCCCCTCATAGTAGGTTTGTCTTAAGAATCTAATCTTTTCCACTTCTTTCTCTAAAATGTCATCTATTACTTTCCTAACCTTTTTAATTTGGTGTATCTGCTTTTATTTTGAAGGGCTTGGCGGAAGTAAACAGTAATCACGTTACAACCCGGAAGTGTTGCCTTTCTCCGATTAACGTTTTGAATAGACGAGAATGAGCAGTTTATCTCATGAAGAAACGATTAAAGGCGATGCTGCGGACGTCGGGTCGCTCGTTGATAATCGTGTTCGTGTCCTAATCTTTGTGGTTTGAGGCGGAGGCGGTCGAGTGTGAGCAGCAACGCCCCGATGAGAGCCACCCCGTCGGAGAACAAAAACATCCCCTCCGTGTTTACAAACCGACCCACAGAAATCATTTCCCCGCAGAGGGTCGTCGGCTAACCGTGCGGTCGTGTGAGTGTAACATCAGACGAAAAGGAAGAAAAAAAAACCACAAAAACATGGCTGAACTGCACGTTGTGGAGCAGAGCAGCACGGGCACCATCGAGCAGCCGGAGCACCGCGACGTCCGCGGCTCAATGCGCCTGGCGTCGCCCACTCTCATGCTCCCTCCGCGGGGCAGCCAGCTCAGTCCCGGCGGGGTGTCGAGCGGAAGCGGCGGCGGCGGCGGACGGTCGTTGTTCGGGTTCCCGGGGAAGAACAACCCGAACTCCCCGTCCGATTCTGCAGACAAGCCGGGCTCACGCTGGGTTCGTCTGAACGTCGGCGGGACATATTTCATCACGACGAAGCAGACCCTGTGCAGGGACCCCAAATCCTTCCTGTTCAGACTGTGTCAGGAAGACCCGGACCTGGACTCCGACAAAGTGAGTACACGAAGTCACAGATATGAGCCCAGGGTGATTTATTTCATAGTTTGATTTAGGGATGTCACGATACTTATTAAATCGAAATCTACGGAGGCCCTGAAGCCCCAAAAGGAAAAAAAAAAGTATATTAAAAAATAATAATACTCTTGCGCATATGATATGATGTTAGGCACACGTTGTTATTCTTTTGTGCAAATTATATATATTTTTTAACTTTTGGTATTTATTTGTTTTCAGTTGCAGACAAACTCCGTCTCGATGTCTGTTCTGCAGCAACATGTTTGTGCAATTCTTAGACAGTGTGCAGGAATTTGCCGACTATTATTTTAGGGATTATTTTCTTTCCTATGCGCCTGTCTGATGAAATTGTATTTTTTTTTTTTTTTTTAATTTATTTTTGGGCTTTTTGTGCCTTTAATAGAGAGATAGGAAAGTGGATAGAGTCAGAAATCAGAGAGAGAGAGAGTGGGGAATGACATGAGGCGAAAGGAGCCACAGGCTGGACTCGAACCTGGTCCGCCCACTTGGAGGAGCCTCCATACATGGGGTACGCGCTCTAACCACTGCGCCCCAAAATAGTTTTCTTTAAGCTTACATATTTTCAGTAACGTCATTGTACATGAACATGCAAATGTCCAAGGCACAATTTCACCCGAGAGAAACACAAACTAGATTTCTGATGGTTTCAATATTTGAGAGCTTTCAAGAATCAAAGCTCCATAAATTAAACAATAACTAGTTATAGGTCTAACAGAATGACAAACAGGGGCACATTTTAGAAGAGAGATATTCACTCACGTGGGTTTCTCAAAGACAGGTGCTCTAGACAGAATCCATCTCCACCAGGTCTGGGCAATAAATCTGCTTTTATCAATAAATCAGGTTAACGGAAAATTAGGATCAAAATCTAGGATCTAGATTTTCTCTTTAACTTGCTCCGCTGATCCTCTTGGGCTCCCGTAGTTCACATTCCCCCCCCCCCGTTTACTTCTTGAAGTGCCACCCATCTACAAGTATCTCGGTGAAGTCGCTCTGCCTCACCTGCATGTTTGCTGCACCCTGAAACAGTTTGAAGACGAAGCTTACAGCGTGCACTTTAACCCTGAAAGAGAAATTCAGAGAACTTTATAAATCCCCAAAAGAAAATGTAGATTGCTATAATTAAAGCAAAACCTGTTTTTAGTCATTTCTTTTCAGTTGTTGTTCGTTTTTTTAGAAGAAGAAAAAATCGATTAACCTGTTAATTGAGTTCGATGTGATAAAACCAGAGATTAGATTTCCAGGTCATATCGGCCAGCTCTATCACCACAGAGACAAACTCAGCACATCGAACACCGGCTCATTATCATCATTTCTCACAATAAAATACAAGTTTAAAACCCCCTCGAGAAATGTCACACGAGACCTAAAAGTATCCAGAAATCATGACGCTGATGAAGTAAACAGTGAGTATGTTTTTATCCGCCAACCTAACTCAGACATATCTTTGGCATCTCTGTGAAAATGCAAAACGGCAAAAAACAAAACAAGGAAATAATAACAGCGCAGCACCTAGATCAAGACGGCTGATATTTCTTCTTCCTCATTGATCGGCTTCAAGTCAGAAAGATTAAAAATACACAAACAAGCCACAAAAGTTTTAGACTTTTGTGGTCATTTTCAACTTCTTCTTTCCTTTTTTTTCTGGACATTATCTGCCTCATCATTTTACTCTCCAAAGTTTCACAAAGGGAGGACAAAACTAATCGTCCTTAAAATGTAAACCTTGTTTTTCTCCTCGCAGGATGAGACAGGAGCCTACCTGATCGACAGGGACCCCACGTACTTCGGCCCCATCCTGAATTACCTCCGACACGGGAAGCTGATCATGGATAAAAATCTGGCTGAGGAAGGTAAAATATTTTGTTGCCTGGTGTTTTCTCTGCAGAAAGTCAGTGTGAGCTGATGTGAGACCGCAGCAGGAAATGAACAGGAGAATTCACCTCGAGTGAATGGGAGGGGGGGTGGTGAAGTTTATTCCCTGCAGTCTCCTTCTCCATCCTCCTGAAGTTCTCGAGAACTTTTCAGGAGTGCATGTATGAAAGCGGCTTTAGAGACCAATCTACAGTGAGCAGCGAGGAGACCCTAAAGTGAAGTCTTAACGGTCTTGTTTCTGTGTCAGGTGTTCTCGAGGAAGCCGAGTTCTACAACATCGCGTCTCTGGTGAGGCTGGTCAAAGAGAGGATACGGGACAACGAGAACCGGACCTCTCAGGTACAGAAACAGAGGCGGGGAGCAGGAGCAGGGTCCGAGGACCCGGAACAGAAACTGCTGGATGAATCTGTAAAACCACAAACTACTTAATTAGGACAAGCAGAATCCAAAAATAGCTTTTTTATCTGTTTATGCAGATTTTTGGTGTTGTTGTGTCTCGTCCCTCAGGGCCCCGTGAAGCACGTGTATCGAGTACTACAGTGCCAAGAGGAGGAGCTTACACAGATGGTCTCCACCATGTCGGACGGATGGAAGTTTGAGCAGGTGCAGAACATGAAGCTGTTTGTTGTTATTTTAAGCTGATGCTTCAGTTGTTTCAAAGCGACAGTTTCAGGCTTTAGTTTGGCCTCGGGTCATTAAAAAAATGAAGCCAACTAAAATGTACTGCTAACTTTAGATTTCTTTCACCCAAATATTTCCTGTCTTTTTTGCCTTTTTTTCCCCGGTCCTCAGCTTATAAGCATCGGCTCTTCTTATAACTACGGGAACGAGGACCAGGCGGAGTTTCTATGTGTGGTTTCCAGGGAACTCAACAACTCCACCAACGGCATCGTCATCGAGCCCACCGAGAAGGCCAAGGTGAGAAATCAGCTGATCACAAATCCTGTGAAGAGAAACTAAAACTATTGACTGAGCATCCCAAGCCTGATTTTCTGACTTCATTCTATTACTTTGTTTGTCACAATGCTATGAACTCTGGGTAATTCCCCTAAGCTAAGTCTGCAGAAATGCCCACTTACAGACATAAAGGGCTGGAAAAGTCAGCGAGAGATCCCTCACACACTTGATGATTTGACAGTGGGGCAGACGTGTGAGAGAATATAACCAGTCCTCCTGCTTGAATTTACACTGAGCTCCATTTACTGCTAAAAAAACTAAACTACCTTTTACGAGACATTCAGACATGTTGTGCAGTAAGTGGCAAGTTAAAGTTGAAGTGACCGGTTATGAGATAAGGTGACAAGGTGTGAGATAAGGTGACAAGGTGTGAGATAAGGTGACAAGGTGTGAGATAAGGTGTTAGATAAGGTGACAAGGTGACAAAGTAGGAGATGAGGTGACAAAGTAGGAGATAAGGTGATGAGGTGATAAGGTCACATGGTTTGATTAGCAGCAGAGTAATGTGTGCAGAGAAGTAACATTAAACAATAAATATACAAATAAACATCCAGATAGAACGAGAGAGATTTTTAAAAAGTATTGATCTGAGTGAATTTATTTACTTTATGTGTCAAAGTGTTCCCGTAGTGACGAAACAGAGACATCAAATGTCTTTAAGTGATGTGTTTCCTGTCTCGTCCTCACAGATCCTTCAGGAGCGAGGCTCGCGGATGTGAAGAGACCCTGATCCTCAAACACACTTAATCAACAACAACAAAATAACAACAAGAACATTTCCCCCAGTTTTTATCAACCGGCATCATCATCATCATCATCATCATCATCCTCCTCCTCCTCTGGTGTGCCTTTCCACAGCGGGGACGCCTCCACGACGCCCCCCCACCCCTCCCTCAGTCCTCGTCCTTCAGAGCTGCGACGGGACCCCGGCTCGTCTCCTCGTTCGTCCTCGTCCATCGCAGGCTGTGGGACACTTTGGGAGGATTTTAAAAAAGAAAGGAAAAAAAAAAAAAAAAAAAAAGGAATCACGAGTGAGAGGTTGTTTTTTTCTTCACAGCAGCTTTTTGATGGTCAGTGTGGATACGGTGCTGATTGTTGCCCCCTTTTTTTGTTATCAATGGAAGAAGGATGTACTACCAAAACATCTTCATCGTTCTCATCTGCGCTTTTTAAACCGACCGGGGTGCGTCCTCTCTCTCTGACACGCTCGGCTCCGTCGACTCAGCGGGAAAAATCTCCTCAGGACTCTCACAGCAGGACACCACAACAGGAAACGAACACTGACAGAGCTTTCTTTCTGCACACGAGGGGAGCGCCGACGCCCGCCGACGCCACCCGCCTCCATCTCCGTGCACTCCCGGAATCCTCGGCCCCCGACGTCTGAGGTAAAACAGCGTCGCTTCAAAACCGAGCCAGGAGCAGAACGGGATCGCTGCGTTTGAGCCGTCCCGCTGCAGCGTCTCCTCCACGTTCTGTGTATTCAAAAACAAACATCTTACACACACACACACACACACACACACACACACACACACACACACACACACGTCTTCTGTTTCCTGGTTTTTGGGGCTCGACTCGATCTCTGGATATTTCCGCGCTGACGAAAAAGCAGAAGACTCAAAAAAAAAAAAGACTTAACCTGTGTACAATTTGTCAAGGCATGTGAGGACTCTATATAACTCGATATAGGCTACATGATGAAATTATATGAGAAAAAAAAATCGAATGCAACATGGTGTACTTATTGATTTCTGTATCATAGTTGTTATATATATATATTTACATATTCTGGTGGGTCGATGTATTTAAAGGACACAGAGAGAGAATATCGTATTATTGTAATCGAAGGTTTTTTCCCGCCCGGGTGTCATGGATGTGAGATTGGGTTTTTTGGGGGTTTTTTTTGCGGCGCCTCTCTCTGCTTTCTGTCCGTGACTGAAAACATCGCAGCTGCTGCACGTTTTTTTCTGTTGTGTTACTCCAACAAAACTCCAGATATCATCATCTTGCATATCTTAAAAATTGTAATTAGGGATGAGGAAGGTGAATCGTCATCGCCGTTTTGGCATGGCGGAGATTAGACTGTGATCACCTGAGTCACTCATATCTCTCTCTCTCCCTCCTCTCTCTCTCTCTCTCTCCCTCCTCTCTCTCTCTCTCTCCCTCCTCTCTCTCTCCCTCCTCTCTTTCTCCTCTCTCCTCTCTCTCCCTCCTCTCTCTCTCTCTCTCCCTCCTCTCTCTCTCTCTCTCCCTCCTCTCTCTCTCCCTCCTCTCTCTCCCTCCTCTCTTTCTCTCTCTTCCTCCTCTCTCTCTCTCTCTCTCTCCTCTCTTTCTCTCTCCGCCTCTGTTGCCGCTCCTCGCTTTAAAAACCTTAATAACTGTGTTTTCTCTCATCGTGCAGCACTTGTAGCATCTGTGGTGACGAGTGTTGGCAAATCTTTCTTCGAGCTTCGGAGTGGAGCTTTTATTTCAGACGTTAAGTTTTTTTTTTGTGCCGGTATATTTGGCTGAAGTTTATTTCTCTTGATTTATTTAATACGTGACGTTAAGCGGCTCATGTGACACGCGCTGATTCTAAGACTTTTAACAACATTGCCTCGCTGTAAAGTCAGTTTATGGTGAAGAAGGTCATAATATAAAAACAAATAGATTGCATTTATGTACAATCTTCTAAGGGACGTTAGGACGCTTTACATGTTGGAGGGACCAAAGAGACGCCTTAATATGCACAACGGTGTTTTTAAGTGATTGTGCAAAATTCAAACGTTAATTGTTCTTCTACTTTTTCCGTGCATTCACCAGAAGTTAGAGCTGTAAGCAACTTAGCAGCGAAATATTTTTGCCACTTTGTGTTTATTGGGCAATCCAAACATAGTTCATTTCTTACATCATAATTATTATTTTTTTCGTAATGTTATACAAGACAATAATAGAATGCAGAAGAAGAAAACAAAATGGTTCTAATAATATCTTAGTTTGCCCAATTTCATTTGTGCTTTTCTATAATTCATGATAAATCCTGAAAACCTGCACACTCCTCTTTCTGAACATGACAATTTATTAGAAAAAAATCACAACGTTTCAGTCCGTCTGGACCTTTGTTAGGTGTGTTCTCAAACTATTCCCCCTCCATGATCTTAAGAAGACGCTGCAGACTACATGTCCCACACCTGAGCACACCTAGGGGGCGGAGCTTTGTCTACTTAAAGATCATGGTGGGAAACAGTTTGAGAGGGACTGAAACGTGTGATTTTTTTTTTCCCTAATAAATTTGTGATGTTTAGCAAGACGAGTGTGGGTTGAAATCCGACCTCGTCCCCATTTGATGCATGTCACCTCCAAACATTTCCTGCCTCTCTTCAGCTGTTCAAAAAGAGCCCAAAAATATCTTTAAAAAACACTTAAACCCCCCTCCCCCCTCTGTTTTTAGACCCCTTGATGAATCGACTAACCTCCGCAGAATCAAAATGTACACAGATGCTTCATGAATGTTTGCAGCCGTGTCCCATGAGCGACTTCAACGCAAAGTTTGAGTCGTGTTTTGAACGTATCAGATGGAGAGTTTTGAAACATTTCACTTGCGCCCGTTGTGCCGACTGAACTCCCGTTATCATCACTGCCCCCTGAAAAAGTGAAAAGAAGGCGTCACATATTCTATCGCTTGAATCACTTTGATACATGTAAAAAGTTAATTTATATCAGCATGAACTAAAAAGAATGCCAGAAAAAAAAAAACCTATACCTTTTAGTTGTTGCCATGCTCCCCTGACCGCGTTCAGTTGGGCGCCGGAGCTCTGAACTTTGATGTGACTTCTTCTTTGTTGTTGTTTTGTTTTTATTATTGACTTGTTTTTCCTCTCGGCTGTGTGTCGTGCAGTTAAACTCTGCTGATCTGAGTCGTGCTGCTGAAGGCGTCTCATCGAGGAGCACTTTTTTTGTTTCCCCGTCGTCCCCCTCGTGTCCAGTGTTGTGCCTTTTGACCTGTGTTGTGCACAGTTGTTCTCCCCTCTTATCACAAGGCGCCTCTCCTACCTTAAAAAAAAAAAAACTTACCTGAGGTGTAATGTTTAAAAGCGGTCTTTAGCTCAGTTTGTATCGTTCATGTTCCAGTAAGAGGCGAGCCAACAAATCCATCGACCCCTCTGCTTTTACTTTCACGTTATGCTTAAAAAAAACTCCTTCTCGTGCCATTTGCTTTCAAGCTAAAATCACGTAATTTCAAACTGTGTCTGAATCTGCTGTGAACACTGGTCGACGGTGTTTGCTACTTACTGGGAGGAAAGCAGGAAGACCAGTCCAAGCAGGTTTCTTATCTTAGTAAAAACTCCAGCAGTGCACTTGTAAACTGAAATCAAATCTGACTTCTAACTCGCCGCCGTTCTGCCTTTTTTTTTTTTTGCATGCTGAAGCAAAACCCCTGATGATTAAAATTGTTTCTCTTAAATGTGTGTTATGAACCTTGAAGCACTTATTATACCCGTCACCTTTTTGTGATCCCAGTTTGAACCTCGAGGGTTCAGAGTGTCAGGTCAGTGGTTCCCAAAACGGAGGGCGAGTCAGGACCGCCAAGAGGAGGAGGTCACAAGGTAGTCGACGAGAAAAACGAGCTTACACTTCCTGGCCTTGATTTCACTTTCTAAATGTTTAGTTCTGGCTTTGTGTTAGCCTTTCTATGCTAGCTGTCAGGCTGTGTGGACGGCGATGCTAACAGTAAGCTAAACAATGATCCAAACTTGTAAAGACGTTTAAAAGCATCTGAGGATGAACTCACTGACTGACTGATGATCTTTAATTTAGTGGCACCATGAATACCTCAAAGACTGATTAAAAGAATCCTAAACTGTACGTTGTTGAGGTGCTAACTAGCTTGCTAATTTCTTTATTTATCGCTTATACTTGTAAAGCTAGCTACTCCAGTCAGCGCTGCTTATTAAATAAAACGAGACAAATTATTCTGAAATCAATCCATTAATGTTTATTTGTGTAACGAGCAAGACTAGACTGTTCTCTTTATTATATCACTAGCTTGGCTGTAGACTTCTTTAAAGTTTTACGTCTTGAGGAATCGAATACATTGTTGGACTCTTTAATTAAACCGGTCACAACAGGTTCTACCAAGTGGTCCGGTTCAATACGGTACCCACTTATTGGCGTTTCCACCGTCAAAAGTTTGGAACGGCGCCAAAATAAGAGATCTGTACCGTCCTACTTTTTTGGCACCCTTCTGTTTGGGCACCGATCCAACCCTAAAGGGTCTCTTCATAAAATCTTGGGCAAAGGGTACTTACGAGCAGGGGCATGTCAAGAGGGGTGGTTTGGGCCCCCCCTTGAAATCTTATTGGCCACCCCAGGTGCCACCCCTAAATCCTTAACTCTGATTGGCTATTTGTCAGAGTTGGGACTTGATATGTTTGATATCCACTTTTCAGGATGTGTTGCAAAAGCCAAAAGTTTGTTTGCAATTTTCAAAATACTTTAAATGTTTTTGTTTTGAGTCCTTGAAGAATTCAGCTCAGAAGATGTATCGTCTTGTGTTCGGTGCAGACAGGAAGGGGTTAATAAATGCTAAATCCTAAATCAGGCCACCCCTGCACGAGTCAGCCCCCCCCCCCCCCTAGTTCCAAAAAGTCTGGACACGCCCCTGCCTGCAAGATTTGGGAACCACTGACCAAGTTGAACTTTTGCAGTGTGAATATATTAACATTTAAATCAAGCACCCGTTTAAAAAAAAAAAAAAAACCTCTCACATGCACTAAAGTCTACAAACGATGTGCAATTAGTAACAAATCTGCAAAAAAAAAATGGATATATCTTGTGTTGTTTGGGCACGTGAACACATGAGAGCATGCTGTTGTTGTAGAGATTACGATGATGTTGTGTACTGGATTTTGTCTGACCTCTGTGTTAGTGCAAAGTGTATGTGCTGCATGGTGGGGTGGGGGGGGGGGGGTGGGTGTGGGGGAGCAGAGGGAAGGCATGGCTCTGTGTAAGGTGTGTAGGTGTAGATTTAAAGTGTGGAACAGGTCGACAAATTCTCTACTCACACCTTCTGTTTTCTTTGTTTTGTTTTTGTCTCTGTCATTTTCTCAGAACGTAAACAAATTAACTGACCAATCAGACTGCAGACCCCCCCCCCTTCCCCGCCCCTCTAAACCACACTTTATACAGCATTGACCTGCAGGAAAACTCTCAAAAGAAAGATTTTTTTTCTAAACACATGAATCATTTTACCGGTGGCTCTGTAAACATCTGCATGCGTTTGTGGCCATGCACTCGTGTACGCTCATTTAGACGTATTGAAAGTGTCACATATTAAACGGTTCCTTTGTAGTTCATTTTATCAACAGTATTGATGTCAAATGTGAATATTGTCCTTAACGGAGACCGTGGAGAAATGTTCAGAAAGCTGACTAAAACATTTTGTCTTGATTGATTGTTTGTTTCACTTTTTATTTATTTTATAATTTCTTTTTGAATTTTGTCTACCGAATGTTCGTTTCTTTACATGTAACGACTTTAATGAAACCCCCCGTCTGGTTTTTAATCATAAAATGTGTCTGTGTTTTAAAAGTGTGGCTCTCCGACTCTTTATTTGTTCAGTCACAAAAACAACTGAAAGATAAATTGATTAATTGATTAATTTCCCAGGACTAAATCGTAGTAAATACAATGTTAAACGACACAATGAGGCGAATGAAATTGTATTCATGCAGCTAAAAAAATCAAATTATTAAATCAGAAGAAGAAGCTTGCAAACAATACCAAATATGATATGAAATATGAGGCAACAAGAATATTTTCTAATTTAAAGAGGACATATTATCCCCCTTCTCCACCTTTTCAAACAGTCCCCTGTGGTCTAAATGAAACATCTGTGCTGTGCTTTGGTCAAAATCTAACATGAATCAAGCACCAGAGGAGGTTTGTGACCCTGTATAAACCAGCTCTCTCAGAACGCTCCGTTTTGGTGTGTGTGTCTCTTTAAATGTAATGACCCCCCCCCTCCCCGAGTTTACCTGGTAGACATCACTCCTCTGTAGAGAGAATAAAAATGGCAAACCTGCACAAAAGTTTAGCTCTAGGCTGGGGGTGGAGTCCATGGGTGGAGAAACCAGGGGAGGGGAGGGGATTTATTTTTAGCAGAATCCCACTGTGACATCACAAGGAGAGCACATTTGAAACAGAGCATTTTTCTCTGTGTTGTAAGACTTATGCAGACCACAAACAAAGACCTGGATGGGTTTATTTCACATTTTGTGGGTAGTAGACACTCAGGTTACCAAAATATATGTTCAGAAACACTGTACAAGTGGATTTTTCATCATATGTCCCCTTTAAGCTTTACAATATGCATGTGGAGATTTTCATTTACTGTACATAAGGAGCACATGAGAACGTATCACGTGAGACGCTTTCACAATGAATACATTCACATGCAATGTGTGGGTTTGAACATGTGATGAAAAACATTGTGATAAAGGCATACTGTTTTCTGAAGCTTTTATTTGAGATTAAGAGTTTTATACAAAAGAAAATCCATGTAACATGATTTTTTTATCATAGATTATCTCAATTTATAAAGCAGCAAATAAAAAAACTCATTTTCCTACATAGAATTGAGAATAAAAACATGTGATTAATGTGTGTTATATGTCAAATTTAGCAGTTTGCAAAAAGTGGCCCCTGAGTAGTGATTTCAGCTTGTCCTTGTGTTCACCTGCAGGTCCCTGCAGGTCCCTGCATCAAGGTGAGATGTTTCACCACTGGAGGTCAGCAGAAACAACACTTCCTTGAGTTCTAAATGTTCTCTTCAAATGAAGGTGAATGTCTGTTAGAAGTCCTGGAGTCAGAGTCTTAGAAGGAAGAATGTGTTTAGTATCAACATCAGAGTGTACAGATTAAGGCAGTGGAAGTTTGTATGTGGATATATTGGACGACCCTGCTGGACCCTTGTGTGTGTTTCAGGTGTCAGTGTGTGCGGCTGGGTCCTCCTGGATTAAAAACACCTGGGCCTGGTGTTCTCCAGTCCATAAGAGCAGATCCCACCTCCTCACTGAACGCAAAATTAATGTGGTTGTAAATAAATTTAAAGCGATTTTTTTTTTGGAGTATCTCTTCCACTCATTTGTCGTTGGCTGCAACAATATTTATACACCAGAGAGAGTAGGTAATGACATTGAAAGGAGCCACAGCTTAGATTTGAACCTGGGCCGCCCACTTGGTGGACTATAGCCTCCATATGTGGAACATGCACTAACCACTGCGCCACCAGCACCCCAGAACAGGCTCCTGTCAGACGGGGATTCGAACCAGGAACCTTCTCTCTGTGAAGCGACAACTGTTTTTTGCTCTAAATGCAAGTTTAGTCCTTTTGCATAAAAACTAACAAGTGCAGTTATTGTTAAAAAAAATATACTTTCTGTGGCATTGCCTATAATGTAATGATCAATAAATACAAATTCCAGGCGACCCCATTTGAATTCTATGCGACCTCACATGGGGTCGGGACCCCAAGGTTGAGAAAGCTATACTTTCATGTGACCTTCTCCTTTCATACAGGCCCACATTGTACCACCCTGTCAGTTTGTGTCCTCCATTACGGCTCTCTATAGCTACATGTCCTGGGCCTTGCAGGGCTTCTCTGCTTGGACTGGGGCCTGCACAGCCTCTGCACAGCCTTTGCACAGCCTCTGCACCCCCGACCCTCACAGGCGGCCATATCAGTCTCCTCCTCCCCCCCGGCAGGAGGGGCGGGCAGAGGCTGCTGGAGCTCCGTGACGAGCAGCAGCAGCAGAAAGAGAGAGAGAGCTCTACCCGGACTGAAGCCGCTGCTGCTCGGCTGTCAACAAGGAGCGACCGCGCCTGTGCAGCGTGGGGGAAACGGGGGCTGAGACCACTACCAAAACGCTAAAGAAAGGTAATTTTTATTGATTTTAATCAGAACTAAAAACATAAACGTTACACACTGTTCTGAATTTCAGCTCAAATCGCTTCCTCGTTGCTCCGAAAGTGCGGAGTGAGTGATGTCCAGTGTTTATATGTCAGGGGGGAAAGAACACTGATTGACACGAATATGGAAATGTTTCGCCTTTTTTTGAAGCGATATTTATATTTTAAAGCCACGAAAGGTCTAATCAGATCTAAAAGCGGTGTGATGGTGTTTGGAGTATAAATCTGTATTTTTTTTGGATGGGGGGGGGCTTTCAGACGCAAACAAACCGTAATATATACGAGATGCCACGTGGGTCAGCTGGCAAAAACAGCTGTAAATGTGGAGAGAGATTCAGTATTTAAATGTGATAAAGCTGAGCTGATACCACTATGTGTGATCATGTCAAGATGTCTCATCCCTTCATGGGCCTGTCCCACAAGCAGCTGCTCAGCATCCCTTTCATTTTTCCAATGAAGACATTCACAGATTGTACTTCCTGTTTTTAAGCCTTCAAGGAAACGTTCATTTATTTTTATTTTTAATGTGGAAGAGAAAGCTTTGCTGCTGCAGGAGGTAAAAGAGAAAAACAGGATGTCATGGCTCAGATTGCAGAGCTATGAGAGCCCCCCCCCCTCACTGATCCGTCACACACTCAGGATAGTTACAGGAATAAAACACCACACCACTCTGCTCACTTTCTTTTGCACACTGTTTTGTCCCTTGACTGCTTTTTTTTTTTGCATGGTTTTGTGCACTCTTGTGTCGCAATTACATTTGAGCCGAATGCTATTTTTAAAATAAAACATAGCACCTGATCTGATCGGGTTAACCTACTCTTAACATTGTTTATCAAAGTATTTCCAGAGACCTTAAAGTCTTTATATGTGATTTTTCACACTTAAATGTACAAATCAAGAATATCCTCTAAAAATAACTCTGTGAGTCATGACTGTCTACAATGGGTGTAACACCCGAGTCCCACTGTCTGTGATGTTTTCAGAGTTTTCAGAGTCCTATCTTCACTTTGTTTACATCGCCAGGACGGCCGGCTGACTCCTCCCCTCGAGTATAAAAGATGTTTAATTGAGGGACTAGAGAAAAGAAGAATAACATACTGTACTCACTGCTTAACTGTGTTTCTAGATCACGCTCATTTCAGGTAAATTTACATGCAGTGTGAAGATACCAGCATAATAAAGATCACTAGCATTAGCATGCTAACACAACAATGCAGCGCAAGTTGTTTTGGTTTCATGCTGGTGCTCAAGGGCGACATCTGCTGGATCAAAAAATCGCATATAAAGCCTTTAATGACCCTCTTGAAGGTGAAAAAATAATCTGTGTGATACACCAAAAAAATGAAGACTTCCTTTCTTCATGGAAAGTTTGGCAATCGAAAAACAAATATGCACGTTTGCTTTCATTCTAAAAGTTAAAAGAGAAGATTGATGACAAGTTCATGTACGGTGAGCGTGAAGCTGGAGGCAGGAAGTTATTAGCTTAGCTTAGCACAAAGACTCGAAACAGATGGGAAGAGCTAGCTTCTCTGTCCAAAATGGAAGATAAAAACAAAACAACCATGACGTTTACCACTATGTAAATTAGTTGAAATATAACGATAAAACGATAAAGTACTGTAAAATACGATACATTACGGTAAGATACTGTAAAATACGACACAATGCAGTGTGATGCGGTACGATACGTATTAGGATAACGGGATCAGGTTACGATTTTAGAATGAATGATTTTTAAAGCGACATTATTTTGAATTCAACCGATGAATACTGAGTTCCTTGTCTCAGCTGAAAAACAAGTCCAGTTCATAAGCGGCCTGAAGTGGTGTAAATGTGTCTGCCGCTTTTTGATCATATTTAACAAATTTTAAAAGGTTTCTCAGAACATTCAACACTATTGATTTATATTGTGTTATAATGTGTTGTTAACCAGAAGTAGTCCAAAGCTTTCTGTCTGTCTGCCTGAGCACGTTGTCTTCAGGGTTCAAAAGTTTAGATTTTGCATGTGAGTTTGGCGCTTTGCATCCCGACCGTCCCGCCCTCGAGAAGGCCGTGATACTTTGTGTTTTCAGGATCATAATCTCATAAAATGTTTCTCTTCTCAGCAGCAGCTTGGTACATCTAGAAATGTGACCCGGAGCCTCTGGTGGCAAAAAACTCCATTGGAGATTTTTTGCACAGAGAGCTTTTTCATTCACGGATTTTCACAGGAGCGTGTTGGTTTCATGCTGGCAAGATTAACTTTCCACCCACACAGGCTTACAGTATTTGTCCGTACACCCATCAGACCTCTCCTTTGTTAACTCATTACGCAGTCTGACCCCGCTGACTTTGAAGCATTAATATTCATTCTTAAGTTTTCTGGTTAAAAAAAAGGTAAAGCGATGGTCTGAGGCTCCTGCAGGAGACGAGCTGCTGCTGCTGCAGGGACCAGTATTCTGTCTTTACAGGGGACGGGTGGTCTTATATGATCGTACTTGACTTTGAATGAAGTTTCTCTAAACATGTTGGTCACATAACAAAGTCCACCATCTGCCAGCTCAAGAGCCGGAGCCAATTGAGGTCTTTCCTTCCAGCTTAGGATGCATTTAGTTTGGATTACTGTAACTTGGAGTGACCGGAAATTAGCTCACTGCGGTCAAACTTGTACATTTTTTTTGTTTGTTTGTTTTTAAACTTTTATTCACCAAAACGTGCATACACACACTCACACAATAAGAAAAAAGGATACAAACAAGAGGGGGAACTGTGGTACGATACAGTTTTGCAAGCAGATTTAGACAAAAACAAACAAACAAACAAACAAAACAAAAGGAAAAAGGGTCAGTAAATAAAATGAATGAATTAAAAAAAGGGTACAGAATAAGTAAATGAGCAAACAGGACGAAGAAAAACATGGAGGACAGTATAGTAACAACATGATGTAAAATAAAACTGGTGGGATAGGTTGTACACATGGTGACGGTTGTTTGTTTTTGTTTTTCATTTTGTATGGGTGCTAACACGATGATTGCCAAATACCTGTAGACTGTTTGTAAATTATATTAAAATCGTTGATTTCCTCTCTCCTCCTCGTTTACCTGCCTGGTTCTGCTGTGGCATCAACTCACTGCCATCAAAATGGTGGTGAGGATTGTGGAATATATTTTGTTGAATTCTGTGAGTTGGTTTTTTGTACATTTTATTTAGTTTTAAAGAGCAGGACTTCATTGTCCTGTTTACTGTTGATTCAGTCTTTATGCATACACTCCTGTAGATAGTCTGAGGTTTGCTGACCAGCTGCTGGTTTTCCCAGAGTCAGCATGGAGACACGCTGGAGACCTCAGGTCGTTTTATAGTCGGGCTCCAAAGCTCCGATGTTGCTAAAGGACTCCTTTTAAAAACTGCTATAAAGCTACTGTCATCAATATCTCGATGTTAAAAACAATAAATCAAATGTCTGTGTTGGCTTAGTATAGTCGTCCATTTTTCTACTTAGCTCACTTTGGTTACTTCACTTATTGTTCTTTTTTGTTGTGACAATTCAAAAGCACACTCGGATGCGAAAAAGGTCCAGGACACAAAAAAAAAAAGAAAAGTAGTTAAAAAAGTTAGTAGGTCATACACAGAGAGGCAGTCAGCAAGGGCACAAAAAATATCCAACAAGGGCAAATCCACAAAATCCAAAAATTCAATGAAGTTCAAAACCGGGGGGAGCAAACCCAAAGAAAACAAAGCTGGAACGCATGAACACACCAAGGAGAGAGTGACAGTCTGGCAGAGGGCTGGTGGAAACACAGGGGGGATATATACAAGTCAGACTCACTCTCAGAGAAATCGGGGTAGTTATGCATCAAAGGGCTGAGGCCGGGAGTCGAACCTGCGGCCGATATGTCGAGGGGATGTACCCGCTTTACCATCTGAGCTAAACCAGCGCCCCATTTTAGACAAAGATAGAGTCAAACAATTACAGTCTGAAGTGAAGTAAACAAAGGGCAACAATAGAGGACGTCCAGCACAGGTCTGCACCTCCGAGGTCGTCAGTGGGGCGGAGCTACACTCTGACTTTTTTTAAAGGGAACATATTATGAAAAATCCTCTTCTACAGTGTTTTTGAACATATATTTTGGTAACCTGAGTGTCTACTACCCACAAAATGTGAAATAAACCCATCCAGTCCTTTGTTTGTGGTCTGCATAAGTCTTACAACACAGAGAAAAATGCTCCGTTTTAAATGTGCTCTCCTTGTGATGTCACAGTGGGGTTCTGATAAAAATAAATCCCCTCCCCTCCCCTGGTATCTCCACCAATGGACTCCACCCCCAGCCTAGAACAAAATTTTTGAGCAGGTCCGCCATTTTTATTCTCTCTACAGAGGAGTGATGTCTACCAGGAAAACTCAGGGGGGGGTCATTACATTTAAAGAGACACACACACCAAAACGGAGCGTTCTGAGAGAGCTGGTTTATACAGGGTCACAAACCTCCTCTGGTGCTTGATTCATGTTAGATTTTGACCAAAGCACAGCACAGATGTTTCATTTAGACCACAGGGGGACTGTTTGAAAAGGTGGAGGAGGGGGATAAAATGTCCTCTTTAACTTTAAGGGATTTATGTCCTGATCAAAGTGGCAGACCTTTAACTTCTAAACCACTTCATGTGATTTAAAAACCGGATGTCTTGTTTTTGTTTTGGTGTCCCTCAGGTCGCTGCAGCCACAGTGACATGGACGGCAGGAGCGACTCCACAACCTGCAGAGCTAACACAGAAGCCTCGCCCGAACTGTGGAGCCGACAATGACTCACAGAAATGGAATCAGGGGGACGAGTGATCGCTGCCTCCACGCCGAGGCCTCCGGAGTCCTGCGGCAGGCCAACGGGGTGGAGCAGGACAAAGATCATCAGGACTGTGAGTCCGAGGAGGCGGGGCATGTGGCAGGTGAACGCAGACGCTCAGCAGCTGGACCCGGGGTGGTCACAGCTCCAGACGGAGGATGGGGGTGGGTGGTGCTGGTCGCCACCATCTTGGTCCTGGCTCTGACCCTGGCGTTCCCGTCCTGCGTGGGGATCTTCTACACGGACCTGCAGAACGAGTTCCACGCCTCCAACAGTGAGACGTCCTGGGTGCCCTCCATCATGACGTCGGTGCTGCACGCAGGAGGTAAAGTCAGCATTTATTTATTTAGAGAATGGTTCATCTTATAGTTAACCAGAACTTTTAAAGTTTCGCAGACTTTTATCATCATCTCGTCTTCTGTTATTTCATCACCACGACTTGCAAATCTGTTGGAGGTGTCACGTTCCCGTTGACCCTTTAGAGCCTCCGAGCCTCGGTGTAATTTAAGTTCCTGCCTGCTGCTGTTGTTCAGCGGGAAACGTGAAACAGGAGAGTGACTTGTCGGTGTTGATTCAAAGAAACATTCATCCCTGAGAAACTGAATCACAGAGGGACTCCTGTATGCTAGGAAATACTTCTAAATAATAATTGATTAAAAACCGTAAATGGACTTTTCTAGTCTTCTGACTACTCAAAGTGCTTTTACACCGCAGGTCACACCTACACATTCACACACTGATGGTAGAGGCTGCAGAGTGAAGAATCCATCAGGAGTAACTTATCTATTCATACACCGCTGACAAAGCAGCAGGAGCAACATGGGGTTAAGTGTCTTGCCCGAGGACACATCAGACATGTGGCTGCACGAGCTGGGGATCGAACCCCTGACCTTCCAGTTGAGAGACGACTAACTGAACCACTGAGCCACAGCCTGTGTACTATTAGATTTAATTAGATACAGTATTGTCCCTTAGGGGAAGTTTGCCTTGTACTCATTACTTCTGCCATATTGCAAAAGTAAACTATTTACGACTTTAATCGATTTTTTTCTTCTATAAATGACAAAGAAATTACAAAAAACAATCTTTGCTTTTATTTATATCAATAAAATTTGACAAAGCAAACTCCATTACCTTGCAAGGATTAACTTGAATTTTTTGAAGTGCGAGCTGTGAACTTGTTTTAATCAATTTTTAAGTAAAAATTGAGATTCTTATCTTTTGAGATTTCAAATAGATTCATAACTTCCAAAAATCTGGAGCAGCAAGAAGTTCAGCCAGTCTCACAGATGACTGGAGGAGATCCTGAAGTATGGACTCGTTCAAAAATAAAAAGACTTGCATCATGAATCCAGAATCGTTTTGAATCAAAACTAGATTCTAAATCAAATCGTGAGACACCAGAAGAGTCAGAGTCCTAGTCAGCAGTTTCAGGGTTCTGCAAAAACGTACAGATAAGGCAGACCATCATCAGCAAAATACTAGTGGTTACTGAATCATGATGTTCATGTTTCCCTGAGCTGCAGAAAAGTTGTCGAGATGACAAATGAATGCAGATGAGACTGGTTCCTTAAAATCCTTTTTTTTTTTTACTTCATGAGAGAAAGTGTGGAAGGCTGTGCAAAGGGGCGACAGTTGCTCAGTCTGCAGGGACTCTGGTTAGGAATCAAAGGGTTGCCGGTTCAAATCCTGATACGGTTCATGTCTGGAAATTGATCTGGTAGCTCCACAGGATCCTGTTTGTGCATGTGTGTGTGTTTCAGCCTCTGTGTGTGTGTGTAGCATGTTCAACAACAGAGTGTAAAATGAATATCTTCTTCTTCTTCAGTCTCAGAGTAGTCTGGAGATGATTCCAGTCTTTAAAATAAAAAAAGCAGAAGTGAAGAGAAGCTCATCCTTCCATGGAGCTTTGTCTCATATCCGGACGTCATCGTGGTGCACACCGCTGCTATCTGCCCACGCAGCAACGTCAACTTCCTCCTTCAGTGAGCAATTATTTCACGTGAATGAAACAGGGAAGTTGTTTAAAGAGTCAAGGATGAATGTCGTAAACTCCTAAATCAAACGGAGCAAAACATGCACTTTTTTTTTTAAATCTGTAACTTTATTTTCCGTCTGTTTGAAAGCAGAAGGTCGTTGTTTTTTAAACTTTTCATTCAGAGCCGGTTTGAGATAAAGTGTCCGTTTCAAACTGATCAAACAGAGACGCAGGATTGACAGGATCTCTCACTCTGAGCGGCACAAACCTGCAGGAATATGGTTACTTTGTCCCTCCAATCTCGGTCCAGGAGACTTTTTTTCCACTGTCTGTACTGGAAGTGTAAAATCTCCTGAAAGTGAAGCTTGTTGTTGCACAAAGAGGCTGCATGAAAAGGACTCAATGTTCGAGTTGAGATTAGTTTGAACATTTTGCCGCCTCCTCTTCACCCCATCAATCACTCCTCTCTCCCTTATCAGCCACATCTGTCACATCCACCGATCCACATCATTGCCCTCTCTCCTTCACATTTGTTTTTAAAAAAAAGAGAGAAAGAAGTTTGGTGTCCTCAAACGTTACAGTTTGAGATTAATTTTGTCCGAGCGCCGTCATCCCTTCCTGGACGGTCAGTGCTGCTCGGTGCCATCACAGAGGAATTTTTAACGTCCCACCTTCCTCCCTCCCCTTCCTGACAAACCAGTCTCATGGGTTTTGAAGACAGGAATGCTTTGAACCTAGAAAGTCCCTGATCTGACAGAAATGTGACGAGAATCTCAGGATTAGTGTTATTAAGCAGCACGTTGGTTAGAGCTGCTCGTCCAGAGGGCGGTGATGTACTCTGTCGACCTCCGAGCGAGCTTTATTAATCCCTCTTTGGACAAACGGTTTGGAGCAGGAAAAAACATAAATAAAGATCATAATTCATGCTCAACAACTTCATACATTTCTACCAAGAAGCATTAATCAGCCTGAAATCTGTTCCACGACTGATTCCCAGATAGATGGTTTCTATTTGAATCCAAAATGTTGTGCTTTGTAAATTGTACTGTGTCTCTCTTTGTATTTCCGTCTGTAACTTTGTGTTTTTGCTGCTGCCTGTCTCAGCCAGGTCTCCTTTTGAAAAAGAGGTTTTTAATCTCAATGGGACCAACCTGGTTAAATAAATAAATAAAATCAGGAGGGAAAACTGTTTAACCAGCGTGAAGCAGAGCGTAGCAGCGGACGCACAGGTCGCTAAGTGAGGAGCCAGATTATAGAAAACAGTTACAGACACGTCTCCAGGTTAATATCTTTGTTAATTCATTAACAAAAACACATTTTAACTACAGTTCCCTGTGATGTACAGGAGGCTCAAAGGGCTCAGGTAGATCCAGGTTTTATCTCAAATCAGCACCGTGTAAATCCTTTCTTTAGCAACAAAGGCATGTGTTTGATCTCCCTACCCTGTTGGTGACCTTTTACCAACATATATCCATCTGTATTAAGACCATGTGAAACTTCTCCTGACAAAAGAGTATTTACGAGCAGCAGTAAAATGGAGAGAGTTTGTTTAGCAGCTGTCATTTCACCCTGAAACTCGTGGTCATGGTGAGAAATCTGCGATATGTGTCGACACAGAGCTACACCTTAGCGCTACACCTTAGATCTACACCCTGTGAGTGCTAAGTGGGAGAGCAAATATGTGTTTCTTCTTTACTCTAGCCTGAGCAGATTACAGCTTAACACTACTTATGTGAAACACTGCAGCGGCAGGATTAAGAAGAAAACGACCACCGCCTCTGCTCCGGTATGCATTAAAACTAAGAGCATTACATTTGGTCCACAGGTCCCTTCTGCAGCGTGTTGGTGGAGAGATTGGGTTGCCGGGCAACGGTCATGCTGGGCGGAGTCCTGAGTGGGCTGGGAATGGCAGCCAGTTCGTTTACCCAGTCCATCGGGCAGCTGTACGTCACGGCCGGGGTTATTACAGGTCAGCGAGCACAAAACTGATTTATTGTCCTTTTCTGTGACCCGATGAGCGTGGTGGTTACACACATCAGTACACACTACCTGCACGGCAACAAGCATGCGGAGACCAACTGATGAAGGATGAGGGGGCGGCTGAAGAGTCAGGAAGGACCAGACTGGAAACACTGGATTAAAAATGACCTCAAACACTCGATATGCTGATGACACATAAACTAATGTTTCTAAAATGTGACACAAATAATATATGTATATATATATATATATATATTTATATTTTTTTTTTAAAGATTTTTTGGGGGCTTGAGGCCTGAGGAGCAAAGCCTTCTTGTCCAATACTATTTTTTCAGATGGGAAAAAGGAAAAGTTATAATCAGGAAACAGGCTGTTTAAGTTGATCGTTGTTAAAAATGATTATTATTATTATTTTTTTTTTAAGATTTATTTTTGGGCTTTTTGTGCCTTCATTAGAGAGACAGGACAGTGGATAGAGTCAGAAATCAGAGAGAGAGAGAGTAGGGAATGACATGCAGGAAAGGAGCCACAGGTGGGATTCGAACCTGGGCCGCTCGTTTGGAGGACTACAGCCTCCGCGCTCTCTCCACTGTGCCACCAGCGCCAAAAGCACAAAATTTAAAAAACTACCTTCAATGCTTTTCCTTGTTGATTTCTCACTCTGAGCGTCTTCTTTCAACCTTCCAGGTCTTGGTTTCTGCTTCAGCTTCCAGCCCGCCGTGACAATCCTCGGACACTACTTTGTGCGCCGCCGAGCGTTCGCCAACGCCATGTCGTCGACGGGCACGGCACTGGGACTGTGCACGCTGCCCTTCCTGGGCAACTACCTCCACGAGGAGCTCGGCTGGAGGGGCAGCTTCCTGGTCCTGGGCGCCGTCCTTTTGAACTGCTGCGTGTGCGGCGCCGTGATGAGGCCCCTGGAGCCCCCCGTGTGCCGGGGTCAGCCCCTGATGAACCAAGGACCGCCTTCGCCCAAGGAGGCGCCCGTGAGGAAGGACGTGGGGTGGGCGAGGACGATGTGGAGCTACGTGGTGGCTTCCCTCAGCAAACACATGGCGTTCGATCAGTTCTGCAACAATCGGCGCTACTGCGTGTTCGCCATTGGCATCACGTGGATGATGCTGGGCTTCGTGGTGCCGCTCATCTACCTGGTCCCCTACGCCACCGCCAACGACATGGAGCAGGGCCGCGCCGCCATGCTGCTCTCCATCCTTGGCATCGTCAACATCGTGGTGCGGCCGCCGTTCGGCATCATCTTCAGCATGCCGTGGTTCAAAGGGCGGCACATTTACGTTTTCGCCGCTGCCCTGCTGGTCAACGGGTTTAGTAACGCCATCCCCTGCATTGGCCCAGCTTCAACGTCCTGCTGGTGTACGTGGTGATCTACGGGCTGTCCATGAGCGTGGTGGGCTCGCTGATGTTCACCGTGCTCATGGACATCGTGGAGATGAGCCGCTTTCCCTCGTCTCTGGGACTGCTCGCCATCATGGAGAGCATCACGCTGCTCATCGGGCCTCCACTGGCAGGTAACCAGCACACATGTGAACGTGTTCTCTCAGCAGGTTTTTACACAATTTAGAAAGTTTAAAGTTTCAGGTTCAAATTTAAAGAGAAAAAAAATGTCATATGTCTTGTGACGCGTCTGTTTGGTGCTTAAAGGCTTTATATGTGATTTTTCACACTTAAATGTAGAAATCAAGTCTATCCTCTGAAAATAACTCTGTGAGTCATGACTGTCTACAATGGGTGTAACACCCGAGTCCCACTGTCTGTGATGTTTTCAGAGTCCTATCTTCAGTTTGTTTACATCGCCAGGACGGCTGGCTGACTCCTCCCCTCGTGTATAAAAGTTGTTTAATTGAGGGACTAGAGAAAAGAAGAATAACATACTGTACTCACTGCTTAACTGTGTTTCTAGATCACGCTCATTTCAGGTAAATTTACATGCAGTGTGAAGATACCAGCATAATAAAGATCGCTAGCATTAGCATGCTAACACAACAATGCAGCGCCAGTTGTTTTGGTTTCATGCTGGAGCTCAAGGGCGACATCTGCTGGATCAAAAAATCACATATAAAGCCTTTAAAGGGAATGATGCCCTACATGTCTCTTGGACTCCAAGTGCTGCAGACATTCAGCTGCCAGGGGGCGCTGCTTGTCAACAGGCAACTGCTTGGGGTCCCCAAAGGTCTTCCAAACTTTAAACCACAGCAGTAGGAAACCTCCCTTAGGGGGCCCCCATCTGACAGCACTCATACTCGTTGTCCTGCTAAACATCTCATGCATTATTCCTGTGAAACCCACTGAAGGAAAATGAAGAGGAGTTATCTGTCTGGTAGTGAAAACAGCTCGATGGTGGTTGGAGGGGCCCACAGTAACATTTTGCCCAGGGCCCCTAACAGACTCTAGAAACGACCACTGCAGCTGCCTCTACAGAGTAGAATGAATAAACAGAAGCGGGGCACCGGTGGTCTAGTGGTCAGTCTGTGTGTCCCGTGTACAAAGGTTATAGTCCACAAAGTTCCTGCATGTCGTTCCCCGGCTCTCTCTCTCCTCGTTTTCTGACTCTATCCACTGTCCTGTGTCTCTAATAAGAAAAATGGAAAATTAATCTTAAAAAACAACAACTACAGCATAAACACATTAATCACAATGAATTAAGGTCTTAAACGAAAGATTCATTTATTTTAATCGCATTGATCACATGCTATTTTGTCCTTTTAGGCACACTGTAGGTAAACAGTGATGGAAGAGAACGACTCTGCAGCATTGTTGAATATCTCATTTCACTTTAAATATTGCAGAAGAGACACCTGCACACCGATTCCACTCGGCTTAGAAGCCACAAAAAAAGTCCACAGGCTGACACAGATGCACAAATAGTCTCTTTAAGTCTCTCCCGAGTACTGTCTCCTGATTTGTCCTTCACAGCCAGAACATAACGCAGACATTACATACACACGCGTTACATCTACATGTGCATACAGAACATCTCTGCTCCTGTGATATGTGAATGGCAGACATGCAGGAATAGAAGGTTTGGTCCTCCTCCACACAGCTGTGTCTGTAAATAAACTGCTGCTGCTTCAACTGACAACAAGCACACAAGTCTGCAGGGGTGTAGGATATGAAAATGCTCCACCACCAGTAAAAGTGTTAACAGTTGAGTACACAGTCTCTGCGTTTTTGGGATTAATATCACTGCTGCATTATACGAGTAAACGTCACGTCTTTGTAACAACAAGCTCTCAGAAAGTCAGCCCTGTGCTGAGGCTTTCTGGTGATGCATTTCAAGCCCATCCAAGCAGAATTTGAAGAGTAAATTTGCTTCAGAGATTTTTCTTATGCCATTAAGGGACGAGCAATATTTTAGTGTAGCACAAAATTTATCATAATCACAACTACCATGTTTTCTAACTCTAATATGTGTCTCTAGTCTGTCTACAAATCCCCACATTTTTTCCACCGTTTGGAGAGTTTCCTTTCATGACATCACAAAGGGCAGTAAATAGAAAATAGAAATAGAGGGGTTTATAGTCATGATCAAATACAGGATCAGAGTGGATTTAGAACAAGAAACTTCACACACATGTTTTGAGCTCTGAGACTTAACTGGTTGAAGAGGAGGAGGAAATGTGACATTTAAACTCAGTACCAGATTAATTACAGCCCTGTAGTTCTGTGCTTCATTCTGGATGAGTGGTGTTCAGCTGAGTGTTTAAAGGGCAGAGGCTCCACGGTCTCATGTTACAGGTATGCTTCATCTGTTTATGTTCCTGCTCCTGCAGTGATGCAACCACAGACACAAGTCGCAACAGAATCAGGGAGTGTGCTCCTCCATGTGATGAAATAAAAACCCCAAACAGGAGCTCTTTTGGAGCGATTGTGATGTCGGATATATCCACTTACTTGTAGAAGAAACTGGCATCACTACAGGAAAAATACTTTGACCAAGTGGTCGTTTTCTGCAGAAGACCTTTTTTTATTTATGATAATTTACGACTTTAAAACAGAGACCAGTAGAGAAAGTTGCTCACTTTAACTTGCAAACTTTATTTTGTGTATGGATGGAGTGGAAAACTCTAATGTTGAAATGCTTAGACAATAACCCGCTGTCTTTGATACTTCTTTGTTGCCGTAGGAGTCCTGATCGACAGAACGGGTCATTACTTCCAAGTCTTCTTCGCCTGCAGTGCCGTTGTTGCCTCCGCCGCCGTGTTCCTCATGGTGTCTTTCTGCTGGCTGGACAAAAAGGACAGAAAGTCTTCAAAGCAGACTCAGCCCTCAGCGCTCCCCGAGCCGGCCAGACCCCCTGCTGTGGACGTCGCTCCTGACTGTCAGTACCGCAGTGTGCCCACAGAGGGAGACAAAGACAACGCCTCTGCTAACGGGGCAGACAACATCAGCAGCGTCTGAACTCTGCTCACACTTCAGGGTTTTATCCTAAACACACACACACACACACACACACACACACACACACACACACACACACACACACACACACACACACACACACACACACACACACACACACACACTGCAGGTCAAACAGTCCTGCACATTATTTCCTAATGTGTGTGTGCCAGCTCGCTTGGCGCACCCAGATGTTTGCTCTCCTGCTGCGACCTTACCGCTACCATCTGCTGCGCCATAAAAGACACCAAACAAACACTGTGAATCATTTGCTCTGCTCTACCCAGGTTAAACACTTTGCTCCTAAAATACCAAAACCAAAACAGATGTGCACTTATCAGCTACGGTGTGATTGTACTGTTAATCGTCAAATGCTGCTGATCTCATCATAACACCATCCATCTCATCACGCATGAGGTATCTCACTTTATCAAGCCAGGAGACACACAGGATCCTGTGTTTGATAAATTCACTCCGAGTGCATGTCAGGTGTTTCCTGTAGTGTTGATTTAAAGGTGTATAATCATCTTACTCTTCCTTCTGTCAAGACCAGACGACCCGTTTTCTAATCAAACTCGTGCATAGCAAATTAACGGAAAGCTACACCAGAAAGTATATTTAACTGAGTACAGACTGGGGACTGTAGAAAAAAATCTAATTAGGAATCACTAATTTGATCTTGCTTTGTAGGACAGCCCATCGATGTCAACCTGCCGCCCTTCAGCAAATCATTATTTGTACAGCGCCAATTCACAGCAAGTGTTATCTCGAGGTCGAGACGCAGGTTAAGGACCTTACTCATTGTTATGTTACAAAAGAAGATTAGGAGATAAGATTAGATTTCTCCTTTGTGTTCCTCTCGTTCCTGTCCACACTTGCCGCTGAGGTGGAGGTCAGAGCAGGTCGTGCATGAACGAGGACGGCGGTGGTTGTGGGGACGACACAGTCCGATGGTGGAGGCTGGGCGACAGGGACGTCGGGTGGTAGGTAGTGCAGGATCAGCTCGCCGCCCCCCCCCCCGTCTACTGGAGAGTCTCACAAGGCCTCCTTAACTTGATCTTCAAACTAATTCTACACTCAATTCAGACATTCGATCCAGACCCGCCTTTTATGTCAAAATGTGCAGCATCACCAGGCTGGTAAAGGGGCGTGGCCTTACATCTGGATGGGCTGTTATTTAAAGTTTTACAGTGATACATCTCAAGAGTAAAAGGATAAGGCTGGCGCTAAATCTCGAAAGACCAAGACCAACAATGTGTCAGCATGATATCCAAAATATGTTTAAAATGAGCTTCAGCCGTTATTTCCCATCGTGCAAAGTTTACTTTAGATCCTTCCCTCAAAATCAGAGTTTAGTGTCTCTTCCTTTTCATGAAGAGAGACAGGATACATTGGAGTCAAACAAGCGACCAGCGGCAGAAGATAATTCAGCGTGTGAGTTGATGCGGTCATTGTTGGTTTTGGTCTTTTTGGTCAAAAAGAGACATTTGAAAAACTACCACAGAACCGATTAACAGACTTACTTTCACATCATCAACGCTCAAAGTTAAGAGTTACAGAAAGGCCTTAAAAGAAGTCCGAGCAGGAGATAGAGAATGCTTTCGTTTTGAAGTGTTTGACAACGTCTTTGTGAACTTCAAAGTAGGTCATTTAATCCTCTTAATCTTTAATGGGAAGGCATTTAACACCGCGTACCACGACTAAACTGTTGCACCGTGGTTTTGAGTGTTTGTGTTTCACATCATTAACGGTGCATTTTAAAAAATCATCAAAGACTGAAACTGTTAGTTGTTGTTTCATGAATATGTACGAGCAGGTTTTGTGTTTTTTTGTGTGTTTAGCATGTTTTCCACTCCTTAAAGGAACAGTGCCTTTTTTTAAAGAGCTGGTGTTTCTGTACAGCCAGATTTTAATATCACATGAAACACTTGATACCCTGTCAGCAGTTTAACACATCGCATGGGAACGAGGAGTCAGCACCTCAAGTGTTAAGACGCTGATTTGACTTTCAATTTAAAGGCAGGGTTGGTCATTTTAGAAAAACTAAAACTCACAGTATAAGTTTTGAGTGTGGGCTAGAGCATACAAGGGGTAGAGAGCGAGCAGGGAGACAGGGAGGCGCCTGATTGGTTCATCAGATTGGTACCTCATGGCAGACATTGGTGGAAGTTTTTTCAGGTTTACAAACTGCTACAGATGATGGGTTTTCTTCTTTTTCAGAGAACTTGAGTTATTCATTTCTGTCAGGACCTAAAGACAATTTACACCAAAAATCTTAAAAAAGTGGATCAGGAGGAAATGATGAACAACCCTGTCTTTAAATCAGAGACTTAACGTGACAGACTTTTGATAAACACACAGTGAGAGGATCACTCCACATGCACAGGTCTGAACAAATGTATTTGAAGTGAATAAATCATTCAGGTCAAAGCTGTGCTGCAGTATAAACTGAAGTGTTACCAGAGACCTCTCGGCTAAGAGGATTTATCAGTAATATTTGAGGCTTCACTTTCTTTTTGGGCCAAAATGTTTCCTTTATTATAGAAACTGTATTTATATGTCATGATCAGGGGGAAATAAATATTTGAATATCAACTTTGTCGATTTGATTGTGAATCTAAACGTGTGTGGTCGGTATGCGGGGAGTCCTGGTTTCATAAGTCACTGATGAAGCAGCAGGAGCAACTCAGGGTTAAGTGCTTTGCTCAAGGACGCATCGGAGCTGTAGCTGCAGGAGCTGGGGATCGAACCCTCGACCTTCCTGTTGAGAGACGACCGATTCTACATCTGAGCCTCTGCCGCCCAGCATGTCGACCCATGTTTGCTCTCCCAGGTTTCACAAGAAAATGTATCTCAAAGTAAAAAAATAGGTAGAAGGTAGAGAGCTTTTTCACGAGAGAATTACATTAACATTTTTAGTCACACAAAAAAATTATTTAACCTTTAAAAAACCAATGTGTGTAAAAAAAAACAAAAAACTTCTCTTAACCATCCAAATTGTTTATAATAGAACTAGCAGAGCTGCAGATCACTTGAGTTTATAAAGTTTACTTTAAATGAGTTATAAACAGTTTGCACCTCGGCCACTTTATTCAAACAGATTTATTTTATCAGGTTAGAATGAGATGTACAATGACGTGTTACATTTCCTAAAGAGCCTTTATGTGATGATTTATTGTTAAAGTTTGTTTTATTTACATGTCTTATTTTCTACATCTCATTTTGGGACACTTCTTCTGCCTTCTATCTCTACCAGGGATCAATAAAGTATCTCTCTATCTACACACAGTGAAATGTGTACTGGCGCCATCTAGTGGTGAACATGTGTAAATACAGCCGTCAAAGTTATAAAGGCTACGAGGAAACATTAAGTCATTAAACTGTCAAAACTAACAACGGGGGAAAAAAAACAACACATTTCCTTATATTAAGACAATGTTTGCTTTATTTAATCTCCTCTTTATTTCTGGTTTACGGAAACAACCGAGCACACGAACGAGTCAGCCGAACGAAAGTGAAACTAAACGTAAACAAACGGTCAGCAGTTAGCCTGCTAGCTTAGCAAGGACTGTGAGGGTGCAACACGGTAAGTCCTCCAAATCTTTATGATTTATAGAATATTAATGTGTCTTAAGTTCAATCAGATGAATGTTAAGCTGCAGCAAATGGCAGCAACAGGCTAACATGTTATTACGACATTATGTAGTTATTAGCTCACATGTTCGTTTACAGGAAACAAAAAGCCTCTAAACTCCTGTTAGTGTTAGTGAGTAACTGAGTTTGTGTTTAAATGTCAGTTAAAGTTCACCTTTGTTTGCATATTCCCATTTTAAAAAAAAAGATGACCACTGTAAGTGTTTACATTAGAACAGGGAGGGGCCACATTAATTTAACTCTCACTGCCAGAGGGCCAAACTGTAGAATACAAAAACCATTACAGTCAATAATGTCTCCAATTTAACTCAACATATACCAGGATCAAATATTATTATGAAATATTTCTGGTTTTCATGACTTCATGGCAGATTTCATCATGTTTTCTTCATGTTTTCAATTAATTGATGTGTAAAAACTTAACCTGAGGGCCACGTTGAGGGTTGATGGGGGCCGCATGTGGCCCCCGGGCCGCCAGTTGCCCACCCCTGCATTAGAAAGGCGAAGAGTTTTAGGTCGTACAAACCTGCTGACTGTCAGGGAATGAATAAAACTTTTTATAAATGTGATAGAACTTTTCTTTTCGGATTGAAGTTAAAGTTTCAAACTAACTGACTACGAATGTAAACTTGTGTATTCTTCTGCAGCTCGTCTCAGAGGTGAATTATAGTTTGTTACAGTATTTGAGGATGTTGACCTCCAACTGCTGGTTTCACCTTCATGAAAACACGACTACTGTGTGTGTGTGTGTGTGTGTGTGTGTATCAAATATCCTGTCTGTAACTGTGTGTTGCTCTTCTGTTGTTTTACAATTCTACAATTCACTTAGCAGACGCTTTTATCCAAAGCGACGTACATCAGAGAGTAAGAACAACACAAGCAAGGATCTAGAAAAAAGGGAACAATGTGAGTAAGAGCAAACGATCAGCTTTGAGTCTGATTGGACACACAGGTGCTGACAGGAAGTGACCAGAGGCAAAGCACAACATTGAGGGCAGTTCTTGAGAGCTCTAATCAGTATAGAAACCATCTTATAAGTCGTCGTTATCAAACAAAAACCATCGTCATTACCATCATCATCATCAATAATATGGAGACCATCATCATTAAGTTAGTAGGTATTCATGAAAGAGCTGGGTCTTTAGCTTTTTCTTAAAGGTGCAGAGAGACTCTGCAGATCCAATGGAGTTTGGAAGTTCATTCCACCACCGGGGGGCGACAGAGGAGAAGAGTCTAGTCAGAGACTTAGGACCTGTTGTGAAGGTTGGATCAGACGCCTTTAGCAGAGCGTAGAGGGGGGAGGGAGTGTAGACCTGGATCAGAGAGTTAAAGTAAGTTTTAGTGACTGGTTTTTCTAACGGGTCAGATAAAATGTCTAAATAAATATTTGTCTTTTTCAGCGTCTTGCAGTGCGACGTTCCCACCAGAGGAAAATGAGGGAAGTCGCAGCATATGGACTGGTAACTCTCCTATTCGACGCGGCGTTGTGTTTGGCGCTGTGGGTCGGACTCATGCTGCTGAAGTGCCCCAGCTGTGGTGGACTCGCGGCAGTTTGGGCCTTCGGGGCAGCGAAGTGGGTCGCCCTCCATTTTTTCACCTCCATGCTGACCGACGGAAAGCCGCCGGCGGTGCTGCGCAGGTTTGCGGCGCTCCTCTGCCTCCTCTCTCCCGTGTTTGAGAGCGGACAGCTCCTCATGGCTCCTCCCTCAGGGGCGTCCACCTCGCTGTGTCCCAACCTCGGCACGCTGCTCCTGGGCGGCGCGTCCTCCTCGCTGGCCTGTGTGGTTTGGGAGGCGGGCCTCTGCGGCGATGGGAAGGTCAAGAAGGAGCGACTGGACTCCAGACGGCTGCTTCTGAGGGTGCTGAAATACTTTAAACCAGACACTCTTTATGTGATCGCAGCTTTCAGCGCTCTCATCCTCGCCGTCTACTGTAAGTAAAAATAAAAGCTGACGTCACAGATCAAGTTTTTCTTCTTGTTTGCCTCATCAGTGTCCTCCCTCTGTCCTAACAGGTGATACATACATCCCGTTGTATCAGGGGAAAGTCATCGACATGCTCAGCGGTCCTGTGCTGCAAACCAGCTTCTGTTACACGATTGGACAGCTCGCTCTTTATTCTCTAGGAAGGTAATTCAAAAAACACTGAAGTATCACCTGAACAATGTGTCTCTTTGAACATTAATTCAGTCACTTCTGATCGTCTTCGTCCTCACAGCGCTCTGTTCTCCGGCTTAAGAGGAGGCATGTTTAAGTGCGCTCTGGCCAGACTGAACAAAAGGTTGCAGCACCTCCTGTTTCACACCCTCCTGCAGCAGGAAGTGCACTTCTTCGACGAGAACAACACAGGTCAGAAACGCACAACATTTTATATTAAAAGGCAGGCTTGGTAACTTTCAAAAAAACAAGCATGATTTTGAAAGTAGCATTCCCTCAGTGCCACGTCTGCACCTTTTCCCCTCTGCGCTCCCTCAAAAGCCACGCCCCCTCACTTACATGCACGAGCGCCATTGGTCCAGAATCGGACCTCAGCTCATCGCTTTGAGTGTGGGCTCCTGCACGCAAGAGGTAGAGAGCGAGCA